TTATATACATATTTATACATAAACATGTATATACCTATATTCACATTATTGACAATCTATTAAATTTGTCTCTCAGACCCTTAACCAGTCCTTGTATATTTAGGTCTCATATCATTACTCATAATTAAATACTAAATGTCGATCTTACGCATGAATGTCACATGTGAATATGCTTATGACAAATATTATATATTGGTCATGCATGTTCAGGTCTTACAAATAATCTTTCAGAATGTAAAATAGAAATCAAGACATCTTTGAAGGTTCAATGTGTAAAAATCCCTTGTTTAAAAGAGTATTAACACGAAGAAGGATAAAAACCAAGTTCTAAGTGAATCTTGGAATTTTGATTGACTAAAAGGTGTTAATGTCATATACAAATTTAATGAGAACATTTATTTAAATCAAAAGTGTTTCTAACATGTTCACATCTTATAGCAGTATATATATATAGATAAAATAATGTGCACCCCACCTACATTTCTTCCTTCGAAAGTTAGAAAAGCTGTTACTTTGTGTTGGTTTCTGGTAAAGTCCACTAATAAAAAGATTCTTAGATGAGTAATCGGAGTGAAATCGATATGACATTGTGGCTTGATTTCTTTTCCTTCCTTGTCGCTTACGGATTTTATTTTTGAAGCTTGACGACCATGGAATTAAATTGAGATTACTTAAGACTTCACGAAATTAGTTAATTACAAATATAATCTAAACATCAGTTTTGTCCATTAAGGAGGATGAATTACATTCTTAATGAGGTTAAACGTGTCCTAATAATGGGGATGCAAAAGGACCTCACCTATGTGAACGTAGAAGCTGTCACGCGAATTCATGTTTTGCCCTTTGGATAGTTCATGAAACTAGGACGTAGTCCATGACCATTATATAATAGTGTTGAGCGACATATGTTGAAACGTATATGAACAAGATATTAGTTTGTGTATGGTGTTTTCGATTTTGTCCTATTACTATAGAATACTTGGTTTAATGCTTAGGCAATCAATGACTTTGATAAAATTTTGATGTACTAATACTAGTTGAAGGTTTATGTTGATAAGTTGACAGACACCTTCTTCTTGTATTTGAAATGACATATCTGTGAATTGAGTAATGTTCACATTTATATAATCAAAATCGGGGATTGTTGAGACTTTATTTGTAGTTTGATTGAATAATTGAATTGTTTTGGATAGTTGTTATTAAGTAAAGACATCATTTAAAGAGATGTTAGTGATGGTGTATGAAATCGAGAAATATGAGCAGTGACAACTGTGTAAACTTTATGCGAGATGATTGAGTTGTGAGTGTGTGTGTGCAGAATGACAGTAAGCAAAAATACCAAAGAATAAATGGTTCACCAAGTTAAAGGGTTAGGCTAGTCTATAGTAATAGAATATCTTGCTCCTTTGGTTTGTATTACTTGGGGAGACAATTACACTCTTAAAATTACAATTGCACATATCTTTTGGCAAGGCAGGGTCTACCTTTTTATACATTAGGATGGTGTAGTCCCCTCAAATAATGATAGTGTAGTCCCCTAATGTGTTAGGATATTAGAGAGAATATTTGGCCATTAAAGTCTCTCTTTTTTAGACATGATGTGGCCTTCAAGAAACTGTGACGTGACATTCTAGAGATGAATTCTTCTTATTTAAGGTAAGATTCGGTGGTGTAATTCCTCTTTTGTGCTCCTTCTAGCGTCTGCTAAGTGACTTGAATGACTTAAAAGTTGGAACCAAGAGTTTGAATCATGCAACGAGGTAAGTGGAAGCAGCCCAGAGCGAGAGCGAGAGAGAGACAGAGATGACTAAATGGAACCAACTAAATTCCTGTGGGTTTTCTAAACATAATAGAATAAATCTACGGTGACCAACTTCCCACACCATCACTTTTTGTAAAGTTATCGCCCCTTTCAAAAATATCAAATCACTACTATGCATTTAAATTTCATTTGAATTTACGTATCATTGGAGTACCTTTTTATTATTGGTCTTTCATTAGTTTGTCATTATTCAATACCAGTCTTTCATCTCATACATTCCACTAACTAATACCTTCTTTTCATCGTCAAATTTGTTCGTCCATCTTTGATATGCATTAAAATAGTGACTGCATGGAGAACAAATACAATGCCTTTAACATACCTGAAGTCATAGTGCAATGTGATTGATTTTGAGAATAATATTGACGATCGTTAGATGAGTCTATTTGAGACATCGAATAAGTTTATTAAAGTTTATTTTATATTATAGATTTGTGGGACAAAAGATTGGGTATTGAGAAATGTAAGACAAATAAATGGTGAAAGGTTATTGGATGGGTAATGCAAATTTAAAAATAAATAAATTGGCTTTCAAAACTATTGTGTGATTTAATAATTTCAAAATGGTTCATGTGACTTTTTTAACCCTTTTTGTTTTTTTCCAAGCCTTCCTATACTAGTAGTGTTGAAATAGTGAAAGACAAGTGGTCTGCAAGTGAACAATTCCTATACTAATAATTATCAAATCTCTTTACACGTCAGGCGGTGTAAAGAGGTGGTCAATATAGCTTTATTGGACATAAGAATTAAATACTTCAAATAAGCCGCGAAGATTCACATAAGAATTATTATGCTACTGATTTCCTGGAATATTCAACTCAAGTAACAAGAAAAATCTTTGTTTGTGCCATTCCTAGAATAATTGATTCTTATATAGATATTTTTGGAAATAGAAAAGATTGACACACGGTCATCTATCGTGGATGTATCAAAACATAGATAGATTAGGTTGGTGGGTTCCTACTTCCTACGACCTGTCATCTGTCGTGGATGTATTAATTCAAGTTACAGTAGGTGTTGTCCAGTACTGTTTTATGTTTTTAAAATGTCAATAATGGTATTGGCCCTTAAAAAGTTGATATACTTTATTGACTTAATAATGTCTTTTATTATAACTTTGAATTAATACTAAGTTCGAGTGTTTAATTGGATCCATAGTTAATCTAAGAATTATAATAAATTAGGTCAACAAATTAAATGAATAAATTTGATGCAAATAAGGTTGCTCTTTTAACCCATTATGATATCAAAACATATTGAAAATTGTTAGGTAATTGAGTGGGTTTTTAATAAGAGCAAAATTATTGGAACTTAATTTACTATAACCTTTAAATTAACCGTGTAATTAATTACATATTAAAATTTTGTGTTAATTCAATAATTCAAGTGNGTTATTGGAACTTAATTTACTAACTTAGTTTACTATAACCTTTAAATTAACCTTGTGTTTAATTAAATATTAAAATTTTGTGTTAATTCAATAATTCGAGTGAAATTACATCATTAGGTCAACAGGACGGATAAAATATATATATCTAAATAATAAAACAGGAGTGTGTTTGAATTTTATCCTAGTCATATTTTCTCCCTCAAAACCATCATCAATCACTTATCTCACTCATCATTCTTTTGTCAAACTCAAACGTCAAATCACATTACTCATTTCTATCACATATTTAATCATTTATATATTTCNTCTCACCTATCATCCTTATGTCAAACTCAAACGTCAAATCACATCACTCATTTCTATCACATATTTAATCATTTATATATTTCTTCCATAAAAATATCGTATCACTCATTTCTATCATATGTTTAATCATTTAATATTTGATTAATTTGTAATTAATATATTTTGAAAAAATTTAATTTAATGGAATCAATTTTTTAGACGCTTGAATTTTATATTTTACCGTGCCTTCAAGCACGGGTTATGACTAGTATATATATAAATTATGATATGATCCGTTTAAAATTCATCCTCCAAACTCATAAACCTAGCGAATACAATCAAATGCCTCTTAAACTATGACACTTGTGTTAATCAAGTCTCTATATTAATTTGTGCTCATTCAGCCCCTAAACTCTAAAATTTTAGCAATTAAGCATCGAAATTTTTATGTCAATTGAGCTTCTAAAACTCTAAAATTTTAGCAATCAAACCCTTCGGTCAGTTACCGTTAGATTTTTGAACGAAATATCTCACGTGATCACTGCATGGACAACTGAATAATGATATTTTAGATTATTTATGCGAAACCTATTAGACGAAGAGCCTCATTTTTTATACCTATCAACCGAAACTCTAAACTTAAATCTTTTACATACCCATTAAATGAAGTAGGTCAACAAGTTTTCCTAAGAGCCTTCATTTATATAATTTGATTTATACATCAAATTGAAGTGCTTGTTGATCTGTTTCATTTAATAGGTATTAAAGAGAGTTATGTTTAGGATTTCGATTAATGAGTATAAGGAATGAATTTCTTTGTCTAATAAGTTTTCAAATTTTTGACATGTATATTGGATCTTGTAAAGCCCAATGATGATGCCCTCCTCGATGTTTCCTGGAGACGACGGAGTAAATATTAGTTGAAAAAGTGTCGCCGCCTCCTCCTTCTTCTTTTTCTTCTAATGTTAACATCTATGACCTACCGCCGACACCATCTTCATCTTGTACGTGCTGATTTGCGGGAACATTCTGACTCAGTTTCTGCCGTTCTTTCCTTGTGGGCGACGTTTGGAATTCTTTCTCTCTCTCTCTCTTTCTTGTGTATCTATATAAGTTGAGGTTTCTCACACCCCAATCACAAGTCACACACTCAAGCAAATTACCGAGTTCTGATTCTCAAATTCCATTTTCCGATCTCAAATACTCTGAAAATTGTTTGGCTTCTCGGAAATGTCATCGCCGTCAACTCTGGCAACTCTGGTATGTCGACCCGGTCCAATATTGGATCAAATCGGTCACTTGGTACCGCTTCACTCGACGCTCCACTCGGCACACCATTGTCATAGACGAGTTTTGTGGAGGAATCACTCCTAATCATATCTACGAAGCCACNCTTTGTAATTAATTTAAAGACATAAAATGGAGATCTAATTTAATAAATTTATTAGAACTTACAACTAATCTAATAATTGTATTGAATTATGCCCTCTTCAAAATTATGTCATGCCAAAATTTATTTTCTTAACNCTCATCACCAGCATCGAGAAAAACGAAGAGATCGCCGATACTTTCCAGAACGTTCAACTAAAATGGAGATTCGTCTGCTCTCAGCCTCAGAGTCGGGAGAACCAGTCCACTACTCCAGAAAAAAAATTGTTTGAGCTCACTTTTGACAAGAAGTTCAAAGAAAAAGTGTTGAACGACTATTTACCCCATGTTCTGGAAGAGTACCAAAACATAAAGGATAGTGACAAGGTGTTGAATCTGTCTGATGGTGGTATGAATATACCTGGTGGAAAGTCTTGGGGTTCGATCAAATTTGAGCATCCGTCAACGTTTGGGACTCTTGCTATGAATGAAGAGGCGAAGGCTGCGATAATCGATGATTTGGACAGATTAGTGAGCGGAAAAGATGTTTACAAGAGGGCTGGGAGGGCTTGGAAGAGGGGGTACTTGTTGTATGGGCCTCCTGGAACTGGGAAATCGAGCTTGGTCGCATCCATGGCGAATTACTTGGGGTACGATATATATGACTTGGAGCTTACGAGTGTGAACACGAACTCGGATTTGAGGAGAATTTTGGCTTCCACTACGAATCGATCGATCGATCATTGTAATTGAGGACATCGACTGCAGTGCCGAAACAACTGATCGGCAGTTGTCGGATCGGAAATACCCTTACTTCAACGACTACGACAACAAGGTTAGTTTATAAATTTGTTAGATTATTTTCGGTCCTTAAAAATTTTCTTCAATACTACATCCATATCCATAACAAATTGAAGGAAATTTTTTTTAAACCCAAATAAAGGGAAACCATTTTTTAAACCCTAATCTTTAATGATAAAATTATTCTATCCTTTAAAGATTCACCGATCGTATTTTATTCTGTTTTAAAGTTAAATTTCTCTTTATTTAAATTTAATTTCTCTTCTTTTAAAAAAAGGTTTTTCTATTGAAGAGATCNCATAAAGGATAGTGACAAGGTGTTGAATCTGTCTGATGGTGGTATGAATATACCTGGTGGAAAGTCTTGGGGTTCGATCAAATTTGAGCATCCGTCAACGTTTGGGACTCTTGCTATGAATGAAGAGGCGAAGGCTGCGATAATCGATGATTTGGACAGATTTGTGAGCGGAAAAGATGTTTACAAGAGGGCTGGGAGGGCTTGGAAGAGGGGGTACTTGTTGTATGGGCCTCCTGGAACTGGGAAATCGAGCTTGGTCGCATCCATGGCGAATTACTTGGGGTACGATATATATGACTTGGAGCTTACGAGTGTGAACACGAACTCGGATTTGAGGAGAATTTTGGCTTCCACTACGAATCGATCGATCGATCATTGTAATTGAGGACATCGACTGCAGTGCCGAAACAACTGATCGGCAGTTGTCGGATCGGAAATACCCTTACTTCAACGACTACGACAACAAGGTTAGTTTATAAAATTGTTAGATTATTTTTTATCCTTAAAAATTTTCTTCAATACTACATCCATATCCATAACAAATTGAAGGAAATTTTTTTTAAACCCAAATGAAGGGAAACCATTTTTGAAACCCTAATCTTTAATGATAAAATTATTCTATCCTTTAAAGATTCACCGATCGTATTTTATTCTGTTTTAAAGTTAAATTTCTCTTTATTTAAATTTAATTTCTCTTCTTTTAAAAAAAGGTTTTTCTATTGAAGAGATCTATACCAAATCAAGTTTTTTACCTTTTTTTTACTCAAATTTGGATAAAGATTTAGATCTTTATTAGAGATACTCTTAGTGGGATATAATTTAGGTACCTAATTTAAAAATCTAATTAAATTCAGTCATTAAATTGAGAGTGTGCTCCATTTAATTTTAGAACTGACAACTAATTTATTAATTGCATTGAATTATGTCCTTAATTAGGTTTTTGTTTTTCAAAGGAATGGTTTCATTTCCTAATTGAAAAATGTTCTTTGTAATTAATTTAAAGACATAAAATGGAGATCTAATTTAATAAATTTATTAGAACTTACAACTAATCTAATAATTGTATTGAATTATGCCCTCTTCAAAATTATGTCATGCCAAAATTTATTTTCTTAACTAATTTATAATTGTAGACGAACGGGTTTTGTCTTGTCAAATATGTTTAGTTAGTTTTTGTCCATCTATTTATTGCAAAATATCTAACAAGTTCACTTGTTTAGTAATATCCAAATCGATTTATTATGCATAATGTATCTAAAATGTCAGGCCTAATTTCCTCTTCATGCAGTTTACATTGTCGGGGCTATTGAACTTCATTGATGGATTGTGGTCGAGTTGTGGAGATGGACGGATCATTATTTTCACCACTAACCATATTGACCGCCTTGATCCTGCTCTGTTGCGATCTGGTCGAATGGACATGCACATTCCCATGTCCTACTGTACACCTGAAGGATTTAGGCTCTTGGCATCCAAGTACCTTACCAACTGCAATAATCACCACAGGCTCTTTGGTGAGATCGAAGGCCTAATTGAGAATGTAGAGGCGACCCCTGCAGAAAAGGCTGGGGAGCTAATAAAGACCGACAACCCTGATGTTGCTCTCGTTGAAGTAGTTAATTTCCTGAAGCGAAAGCAGATTGAAGCACATGATACCAAGGGCGCAAAAAGGATAAAAACTGAGAAAATTGGTAGTAGGATCAAAAGAAACTGTAGGAAAAGATCCGCGGTGTCATGAACGTGGTAGTTGGGGGCGGGTGTAATAGGAGGCATGTTTTCTCTCTTTATTTGTTTTTAAATTAGCTGTTTGCTATTAAAAAATTTGCTAGTTTTATAGCATGTTACTATATATATTTATTACCTAGTAATCTTCAATATTTGAAAGGTAAAATTGGGTACTATGCATCTATTTGTTTTAATTTAAACATCATACATGTAATAATAAATACATGATGTGGGTGTTTGTTATTCAATCTTTAATTCGAATTAGTATCTTAAGCACATAAATTATGTATTCAATAGGCATTTGTCTTTGTTTTTTTTGAATGCAAAAAAATTGAAAAAAAAACAAATAAGTCGTACTTTACACTCCGAATGCCTGTTAAGTCATCCTTTTTCAAAGATGATTCCAAATAAGTATCAAATTGTTTTATAATCTATTTTACCTCTTATTGCCACAATACAAATTCGGTTTTTAAGTCTAAACATATCTTAATTTATAAAATTAAATTTACAAATATATTCTTAATAACTTATATTATTTTTTATTTTCATTATATTTATAATGAATTAAATAAATATATACATTTAATAATTTTTCGTCAGTTAAACTCAGATATCAACTTAGTGATTTTAATAGGCTTTTCACAAGTTTGTTTTGATATATCTATATAATAAATTACAATACAATTCAAATCTCAAAAAATAAACAAAATAATTTTTACTTTTTGCGGTTGAGATCTCTTTAAATTTTATTTTAAAATTAATCCAACGGTTAATATTAACATCCCAAATTTAATAGAGAGGATAGGCTCTTAAGGGTGTGTTTAAGGTAATTTTTTTAAAGTGTTTTTAGAACTTATAACTTCTCATATGTACGTTAAAAAAAGTAATGTTTGGAACTGTCCCACCACTACCACCATCACTCTCACCGCCCTAGCAACATCACCACTGCCATCACCCCCCACCACCACCGTCACCCCACCACCATAACTTACCCCCCCCTCACCACCATTGTCCTTGCCCTCGCCCTCGCCGCCACAACACCCATTGCCCTACTACCACTATCACCACCGTTGTTGTGACTCTACCACCACCACCACCACTGCTATCACCCCACCACAATCTCTTCCTCAACAAGCACCACCACTGCTGCTTCCACCATCATTGTCGCCACCCCACCACCACCATCCCCACTACCACCACTGTCCCCACCACTATCCCTACTACCACTATAGTTGTCGCCACCTTACCACCACCACCATCCCACTTCCCACCACCACCACAACTATCGCCACCTTACCACCACCACCACCACCATTGCCAACCACACCTACCACTATCATAACCAGTCGTCGTCTCCGTCCACTATCATTATCGCTTACTATCACTCACTCCCACTACAATCGATGCTTAAATTTATTTTTCTCTCCTCTATTTTTTTAATTTAATTTTAAATGTGAATACAAATATACTTATTGTTGATTTTTTTTATTATTATTATGTGCCTTCAGTAATGGGAAATGACTAGTATCTTATAAATGATGACACAATTTATTATTGCATATTAGAACAATAGCGCAATTGCTTTTATAGTTGTGAGGGTAAAATAAGAACTCAAGTAGATTCACTAATGGACCTTTAGTTCAATAGCACTCTTTATTTTGTGAAGGTTTTACCTTCTTAAAGTCGAGGGTTCAAGCCCCTTCCCCCAAAAAAAAAAGTAGATTATGTATTTTTTTTGGAATCTTTATATAAAAGTATGATTTATAGGTAATAATGAAAACCTATAAGATTTAATGGATATTTGGTATATAAAATAAGACTTTTTGTTAATTTCGCAAAAAAAAACTACGGGCTGGTGTTTACAACATCTATACTACTAATAAAAGTATCTTAATATAAAAAACTTTTGATTCACTATTTTACCCTCATAAAGAATTAAAAAGATTACTTTATCTTTTCACAATTAATATCTAAATTATCATCATTTCTTTATGCGTTTAAATCTCCAAATTGCATCTAAGATCACTTTTAATTATATATTTTCTATGTATAAATGTCAATTTTTATGAAAATTTTTTATTAATTATATTACTCTTAAAAAATGTACGCATCATTATAAGTTTTAACAAAATAGTCAAAAAAATCTTCAAAAATTCTATTTATATAATATTACTCACCATATTTATAAGATAATATTATGACTATATATGTATATTTTATTTTTCATCAGAATGTTTAACCATGTATGTATATTTTATTTTTCACGAAAATGTTTAATCTTTTCATTTTTAAGATAAAAAACAATGTATATATAACTTTACATAATTATAGTCACAATAAACTTTTCAGTCTGTGTTAAGATTTTATGTAAAAACTTGATTTTTTAAAAAAATTTAATATGTTTTATAATATATATTATAGCCTTGTATACTAAATTTTATCCCAATTAACCTAGATAATCCAAAATAGAGTAAGGTTCCAATATGATAGGTAGATTAATAATTATTTTTATTTTATTTAATGATTTATAAGTGAAATTTTAATTAAATTAATTTTTTAATTATCTATTCTCTATTTATAAATGTTAAAACTTTTTGGTTGATTATATTACCCATAAAAAATATATGTATTATTATAAGTTTTAACAAAATATTCAAAAAAAAAAAAAAACCTTCTAAAACTCCATCAATATAATATTATTCATCTCATTTATAAAGATAATATTATGATTACATATTTATTTTATTTTTCGTCAAAATCATTTAATTTTTAAGATAAAAAATAATGTGTATATAGTTTTACATGATTTTTTAGTTACAATAAAGTTTGTAAACTGTGTTAAGATTTTATGTGAAAATTTAAATTTTTTTAAAATTTTAATATGTTTTATAGTATATATTATAGCTTTGTATATTAATTTTTATCTCAACTAACTTAACTAATCCTAAATACAGTAATGTTCCAATACGATTAGTATATTGATAATTATTTTTATTTTGTTCAATGATTTATAAGTGGAATCTTAATCAAATTAATTTTGAAAAATTTAATTTTCAAATATCACTAAAAAATACTTTCAATTACAAAATTCTAGAAAGAAAAAAGAACTTCAATTATTTATTTTCTTTTTTTTTATCATTTTTTTAAAGTTAGAATAACAAATCTTGAAAATATACAAAGTTTTAAAAAATTCTATAATGGAGCATGAGCGATAAAAAAATAAGTTTGATAAATTTGAAATGATATTTAATTTAAGTACACATATACCAAATATTTATTTATTAACTTTTTAAAAAATATTTGTCACATACAACGCATGTGGTGCATTGCTAGTTGCCTAAAAAGAGAATACCTGCCATGTTTAATTCTAGGGCAATACTATTGCATTTTGATTTGAGTCGTTAATGTATTGTGGTTATCATAGTAGCCAATGTTAAAGTATCACAAGACGAAGTCTTCAGTCCATCCTCCTATTGTGCAGTAACAGAGAAATCTGCAGAACTTTCTTATACATATTAGACATATTCAAAATGTCTTCAGTAATAGTTGTGTAGTTTTTGTAAATTCTATTATTTCTCCTATACTTGCTAAAATCAGTAACTTGTAAATCTCTATAAAAGCTTAATCATACACATGTTTGGTATTCAAGCCAGACAGTTCAAAAAATAAACCTTGATGTTTTGTATTCTGAGTTCCTTTTTCTTACAAGCAATAGGTCGCAACATTAAATCATTCTTACGACCTCAAGTTAATAGTTTCAATTTTTAATAGGATTATTTTCACCACACAAATATTCATTTTATCATATTATTTGGACCCGAAATACAAAGTTATAGAAACATTCGATGCATGAGCATTTAGCAAAATCTGAAGGCGTTAAAGAGGTGACATGTAGTAGAATCTGGAGAAAGGCATGAGATAGCTAGTCACAATCTTGCTTAAAAAGAGGAAATAATTGTTTGAGAGTTACAGTAAATCAGATAATCATCGATGAAAGCAAAACCGTCAATGATAGTTGCTATAAAAGGCAGACGAAGAGGAAGTTAAAAATACATTTTACCTCTCACATGATCCACGATCAAGACATTTAGGAGTAGTGTTCTCTACAAGAAAAAGTGGTTTTTGAGGCAAAGTATTTTGCAACAGCATTGTTTTGCCATTATAAATAGTTTTTTTTTTTAATTTTCTTTTACGGTAGCAATGAAGGCTGCCTCAAGTGGTTTTTCAGGCAGAGTATCTGCGACAACATTGTTTTGCCATTATAAATAGTTAATTTTTTAATTATTTTTTACGGCTGCAATGAAGGCTGCCTCAAATATAGAGTTTTCCCACCATGACTATCTAAGATATAGAGTTTTCCCACCACTTGGTTGCAAAACAATTCTCGCCATTACTATTTTTGGCATCTATTGGCGTTTACTTTTTGGTGAGGAATATAATCGTTACTAATTAAATAATATTTTATTTAATAATTGATTCAAGAGAGGTGTTATCCCGTGACAATATTAGTTGTCAAAAAATAAAATTTTTGTTGCTAATAAAATTTTTAATTTTCAATTTATTTTTTGAAGAGAAATAATTTAGGGACGAATATTCATAATCGCCAAACATAATAAAAAGAATAAGTAGTTTTTGACATCGCGACAATATTATTTTGCCATCATAAATAATTTTTTTTTTAATCATTTTTTACGGTAGCCAGAAAGCTGCCTCAAATATGGAGTTTTCCCACCGGTCAAAACTCTAGCCGTAAATGGGGTTAATCTCAAATTATATTTTGAAGTATTGTTCGAATTTTAATTTGTACCTTTAAAAATCAAAAATTTAATTTTGAATCCTCAAAGATAGAAATCTGTATCAATACGCACCTGAAGCTTTCAGTCATTTAGAACGAAATGGATAAATTACACCAAGACTCACTCATACTTGTCACTTAATTATTTGGACCCCTCACATTTAAAATATTACTCCTACACCTCTTAACGTTTGTGCACGTGTAATACATAACCCCTTATCGTTGAAATCATCCCCTGATCCATTTAACTATTAAATATTAATTCATTAGTCTTTTAAAATGCACTAAATAAATTGTTTGTGCATAAAGCTGTTTAGAACCTAAGGCGAAAACTTATGAGGTGTTAAAGAGATTTTGAAAAATGTTGAGGGGTCATTGTCCCCCTAGGCCCTTCTTAGTTCCGCCCATGCTTGTGAGTGCCAATTTTGATCCCGATTTAATTCTTAGAAAAAATTTCGCAACAGGGTGCCATGGGCATGAATGGACAATGTCATAGGACAAAACTCGACTGTCGTTCTCTTGTTAATTAAACCCTTCTGCAATTTTTATCTTTCATTATCCTGTATTGTCGTGATGACGTATTCATAATTGGATTCAAAATTGTCAAGCTAAGGTACGTATATTAGTAAAAACTATGCTAGTTGCCACATTTGTTACCATGATCTCATGCGCTAGTTAATTCGCTTTTTGAGTTTTGAATGTTGCAGTCTGTCAACAGATCGAGAGTCTAAATTTTATCACTTACCCAGAAATAAAAATATATATATACACTTGATTGGGAGCCAAAATTGAGTCATGGTGGCTGGAGAGAGGGGTACGGTGGTGGTTGGTCTTGGTGGTTAAAGTGCAGAATTTGAGATGTACAAAGAGGGAGCGGGAGATCAGGAGTCCAAAAATGACGTCATTTTACAATATATTAAAACAAAACGGCATCGTATTGAGGGAAAAAAAATGGACATTTTGCCTTGGATATTTTTTGGGCCTGATGCAAAAAATAGATTATTCATCATTTGAATGGTACACAACAAGAAAAAGGAGGTTTTTTTTGTCTGATTCTTTTGCTTAAGCTTAGATTAGAACCTGTTGGGTTCACTACCGTGTAGGAGTCACTACAACGTCGAGGGTCTTTGATGACAAATTTTTTACGACAGTTATGTTTATCATCACAAAAGACGTATTTGAGACATTTTTTTTGTGACGATTATGTTTATCGTCACAAAAAACGTGTTAATGTTAATATTTGTGATAGCTATTTTTTTTACTGTGAATAATGTTATAAACTTAAAAGAAATTTTTGTATTTGAGACAATTATTTTTCCTGTCTCAAATAATATTTTATAAATTCAAAATTTTCTTTTATAGTTATGATAGTTACTTTTCCTGTCGTATATAATATTTCATAAAACATTAAAATGTTGTTTTAGATTAAAAAATATTTTATAGTTTAAAAAAGAAAAACTCTAAAAAAACTAGTGTTGGCCACAACTATTTTTTATGTTACAAGTAATATTTTATAAAATTACGTAGTTTAATATCAAAAGACAATTTCTAATTCAAAGAAAAAAAAATTAAACTCTACAAAGTCAAGTTTTTATATCAAAACTAGGGGTGCCAAAATATGACACGATCCGTTTACACGGCATAAAATTAATTAGTGGGTTTGAAACTTTCTTAAGCCAACTGTTGGTAAACGAGTGGACTCGTCACAATACGATTATAAACGAATCAGGTATTGGTGAAACTAGTTAAAAGAAATGTATACGATATGACTCGTTTATATACCATTTACATAATTGGACAAGTTCAGAGAAATATTGTGTGACTCTCTATTGATGTATATTCTAACTTATTTTAGTTCTTTATTGTATATATGTATATAACTATTATTTCAGTATTGTAACAATAATTTCATTTTTTTTTTCAGATGTCACTGAGAGAGTAGATGGTTCGGGAAGGATATTCAAATTTTTATATTAATTTCTTGTACTCACAGATTGTTATGTTTTATAAAAGTGCATATTTTATATTTTGTTTAACTTGTGTGATTGTTTTTTTTAGATATGAAAATATTGTTTTGTTTTTAGAAATGTTAATTATATTTACTTTTGTGTTTATTTATATATTAAATTGGGTAGTTGTATGGATACGAATGAGTCTTTGCTTTAATGATACTCTTTACATTGTGAAAGTTTTATCTTTTTGAGATTAATGGTTCAAGTCTCTTTCTCTTCTCCCCCACCAAAAAAAAAATTGTATGGAGTGTATATATGCATAGGGTATATAATATTGGTTACAAATGGTCCATAATAATTAAAAAAAAAAAAATTTTGGCAACACCATTGCCTTCATAAATATATATTCTATTTTTTACGACAACCAAATATGGTATTTGAGGCAGCACTTTTGCCGCCGTGATAAAAACAAAAGTGTCAAATTTTTTGTGACAACTTATTTACGATAGGATATTGCCACCATAAATAATATTTGAGACAGATCATTGCTGCCATAAAAATTTTTTGAGACCACACTTATTATGGTGAAGCAATGCCGCCACAAAAAATATTTATGACGGCAAATAGACTTTTTATGACAGCACTTTACCGGCGTAAAAACCTTTTTTTCTTGTATTGAGTGAAAACATCTCTCTCAAAGCACCTCTACTAGTCTGTTTGACATCCCAATCACTTTGTATGCTTTCTCTCACTTTATTCTTAATTGTACGTCGATCGTTGTGTATTAGTGATGGACCTAGTACTACATGTGGCTCCGGATCGAATTAATGTTGGATAGTTTATAATCGAAGAAATAAACTCTGCAAAACATATCGAGTTTTAGTACTTGTTGAAGTTTTCAATTGCACAAATCAAAGCCAACATTTTTGTGTACAGGTACAAAACAAATCCGAAATCCATGTATTCTGACATCTTATTACATTTGCCACATCTACCATTTTAAATTCTTCCCCTGAATATACCAAGAACTGGAAATGAAAGAGCTTTGTAACAAAATTAACATTTGAAAGTAGAAAAGTTCACTTCACCCCCTCTCACAGTTTAGAAAGAAAAGTTCATCATATCCATGCTCAATCTCTCCATCATCATAGTCTCCATGAAACCGCACTGACTTGCTGCGATGTTCTCGTAGTTTCCATCCTTGGGCTCGAAGGGGCAGGAAGAGATAGGAAGGATTGGGAGGTTCTCACAGTTGCATATTTCTATCATGTACCCATCTGGGTCATGGAAGAACACCTGATCCACCTTGATCCCTCCTTCCTCCACCACAGCTGTTGCGTACTTCATTCCCATTTCTTTCAGCCTCCTCTTGACGAGTCCCACATCGGTGCACTGATTCAAAATTTATTATTATCAAAAGGTGTCAACATGCAAGTTTGAAGGGACATTTTGTGACGAAACCCATCATCTAACAACTTAAGGAGTCAAGATTCTAAGAAAGAAATGTCAGCTTTTGACTAACTTTATCAATAAAAAATAAAGACAGTCTGTGAGTCTGTCTCTCTCTTTCTCTAGAAATAGAGATGAAACTTCAAAAGTAAGGAAACCCTAGTATGAAAACTCTCAACTCCATACCTCACACACGCACACATTCTTAGCATTTCCTAGTTCTATGCATTTGTCAATTCGATTATTGATCGCAATACTAATTTAAGTATCGGAGAGACTTTTCCCGATTCAACCTTCTAACCTTATGTTAGTTTTGCGGCTCGTGAATTGAATGATATTCAAAGATTAAGGATGCACCTTCAATCTTTCAGTGATTGTGCGGAAATTATTCCGTACAATATTCTTCTTGTGCATGCTACTACTAATAGAGATATGATAGCATAAACTACTATTGTCTAATATGCTCGAATTCCGATTTGAAATAAAGAAATAGATGTAGATGGAAAGTTCTTACTTGAAAAGATATGTGGTTATCCTTGGGATTGATGGGCCGCGACGAATCAAGAGTGTCATACTCATCGATGGCCTCATTCTCAAGTAAGTGAATCCCAACGCCATAGTTGTACAACCTACACAAGTTTGGGTAATTAAATAGGTAAACATAGAATGTGTGTGTGTGTGTGTGTGTGAGAGAGAGAGAGAGAGAGACCATGCTCCATGGAAATTAAAAGATGAAGGGCGTTTAACGAGAAAGAAGCCCAAGACATCCTCATAGAACCTTACGGAAGTCAACACTGATCTAACCAATATGGAGACATGATTCAAAGAGAGGAGAGGCAAGGCTTCACAGCTCCTTACTTCCTCTGTCTCTATGATCATTTTTCTTTTTTTCTTTTCTTGATCTTCACTCTCACCTCACTCACACTCCTGTTTTCCCACCTCTCACATGAACCACCCTACGGATGTTGCTCCTTTTATAGAAGCACAAATTCCAAAATGTCTTCATGCTTTCGATCAAATTAACAAACATCCAAACCTTAAAAGCAAGGAACTTTCCGCGAAAGTTCTCTCATAATAGGCCAAATGACTTGCATGTTTTTGGAAGCAACATATATAGCTACATGCACCAACAATTTTTCAAAATTTTGAAACCGAACTAAATATAAATTATAATTATATGAAGAACAATGCTATAGAGACCTAATCACAGAGAAAGTCTTCAATGCAACAGTGATACTATAGTATTATTATGTAATATTATTATTCAATAATACATTAACACATGAGTAAATAGATCCCACATAAATCAAGAACCACACCTCCATGAAATATAATAAGTATCCCTACATGTCAGCCAATAGCTATCACCATGAAAAGAAAATGGAGTTCACCTCGTCCATTAGATGTTTTATTATAGGACTAATTATTGTTTGTGCCTGAAGGCACAAAATAATAAAAAATAGTAAATAATAAATATATTTGTATTCATATTCAAAATCAAATCACAAACATAAAGAATAGATAAAAGAATTTAAGCGTCGATTTATAGTTGGGGTGAGAGGTTGTGGGGCGACAGTGGTGGTGGTAGGAGACGGCGATGGTTATGGGGGTGGCAATGACCATGACAGCGGTGGCGGCGGCGGCGGCGTGGCCGGTGGTAGAGGAGGTGGTGGTAAAGGTAGTGATGTGACGATTTCAAACACTATTTTTTAAAAAAAAATACTTATGAAAAATAATTTTTAGAACTATTTTTAAAAAGTCACTCCAAGCACATCCTTAGAAATCTAATTTTTTTATTAAATTTAGGGTGTTAATATTAGTCGTTAGATTAACTTTAAAATAAAATTTAAAACGATCTAAATTGCGAAAAGCAAAAATTATTTTTTTTATCTTTTACATTTTGAACTGTAAACTACTTTATTATATAAATGGTAATACCACGAGGAAAACATTGACATGGTACCATTGCATTGAATATGTATTTTTAATTAATGGCTTAATTCAATGTAATTATAAAATTAGTTATGAATTTCAATATGAGATGAAGTCCACATTTAATCCAATAGATGCATTAAATAAAATTATGAGATTAGGTCTCCAAGTTTGGTCGAAATAACATTTTCCATCTATGAATCATAAGATCAATATATAGCTATCCAATGACTACCAATGTGCCACATAAATTGAGATCCAAAATTTTGTGAAAAAATTGGAAAAGTGTTTAAAATAAGACACGCGGAGAAAATGATCTAATTTTCATATATAATTAATGCATCAATTAGAAAAAATGTTATCGAATGACCGTCGATTGATATTTGGGCTTGAACTTGGCCTTAGAGTTTTTTTCTTGGACTTGGACTTTTATGAAACCTTTTCAGGGTAGCTTAAGACCTTTAAGAGGCTTATTGCATATCAGATTCAGAGACATGTACCAAGCCACTGACAGTTATTGCCGAAAACGTTGTTTTACGATGGAAGCATGCCAAAAATAGATCAGGTCACAAGCTACATTCTACGCTCGAGAAACTTCGTAGATGTTTCCTTTAAAAGCCCATATCTCTCTCTCTCTTCCCATCCGGATATTTCCTAGTGCCAGGGGCGGCCCAAATTGTGACATGAGACAAAAAACATTTGATGAGGTCCCATTAAATTTTAATATTATTATGGATAATATTTTACAATTATTTCAGTATTTTTTTTTTTTTTTAAAGATGTGAAAGTGGTCCTAATTAGGTGAGTAGAAATGCATCTATAATTTTTCATTCCTTCTATTTTTTCATCCATACTAAACATAAAAATTAAAGGAGGAATTCAATGATCCCTCCCTTGATGATGAGTAGGAAGTGTATTACTCTTATTTTTTATTTTTTTATTTTTTCATCCACTCTATCAAACACTTCATAAATATCATTTGAACAAGTTATATTTTTGTGTGGCATTAAGTAAGTCCAGTTTTGCAAAGCTCATTCGAGAAGTTTTGGTGGAAGCCTGTATTAGAGAATTGGTCTATCTCATCCGGCCCTCTATGTAGCTTGATAATAGACCATTTTATTCCTTATTCTTTCTTCCCTTTTTTTTTCCCCCCACTTCATTGCCAGCTTGAAGCTCTAGGTTCTTTGCTGCAACTGAATTGTTAGACCCAAGCTTTAAATCAGATTTTATTTTATGCATTAGCAACGTGAGAAGTAGGAGAGCAGCGATCGAGTTGTTTCAATTCAGAGTCTTCCGGGTTTTGTTTTGTTCTGTTCACGTCACATAAATAATTTAAGAGTAAAGGTTGTTTCATTGGTATTTTGTTATATTCTTTAATTTCATTCTTTCTTTTTTTATTTTATAATGAATTTCCAGAGGATATGAAATTAATTAGTTGAACATAAAATGCATATAATTTTTTGATGATGCACAAATCGGTATTGCGCAAAATTAACAGTCAAGAATATGTAATGAGTATAGTTAATGAGCAGTTAATAGACAATCAATAGTAAAACAATAAATAAGAGTAAAACATACAGATTTATAGTAGTTCGATTCGGGTGACCTACTCCACTCTCGGGAACGACAACGGTAACCAAAGATCTTTATTGATGAATAATGTCACTGTGAGAGTTTACTCTAGGAGAGTTACAATGGTGAGGAGAGAGAAGCAATGTGTGTAGGAAGGTGTAGTGCGTGAAGGGATCTCAAGGTGTAGATGCCTCAAAAAGGTGATGCAAGGTGATGCCCTTTATGTAGAGAGAGCTTACGTTATATAGGTTTAGTAAGGCAGTAAGGCGGTGACGTGAGAGAGAAGACTTTTACTATTTTGATAAATACAGTTATGGTAAGATTAGATCTTCGAGCGTATCCCGATATTCCCTCCTCGTGCTCCTATTTCGTCGGGAGGGAGATGCTGAGCTAGATCTCTTGAGTTGAGTTAAACCTCTGAGCTGAGTTGGACTTGGTCTTAACCTTGGACTTTGAGTTGAATTATGCTTGAACTAGTTATTGAAGTCAAGAGGATGGAGGAGGACCAAGGCAAGGGGCGCCGCCCCTTTGGCTCCTCTCATGGGCGTTGGCCCTTTAGTGCTTTGGGCGTTGGCTTCTTTGATGCTTTGGACTTCCTCTTGATGGGTTGGCCTAGCTTCGATTAGGCTCTCATTTGGTCTTTCTCTGTTTATTTTTATTGGCCTTCGCCCGATCAATTTCAAGCTCATCACTTTTAATTAGGAAGTAAAATTTGAATTTTTACCAAACAAAATGTGCCTAGGTAAAAGTAAACTTTTGCCTAGAAAATATTTTTCTCAATAAAAGCCAAATTTTCTCAGGAAAATTTTTCTTGAGGGTTATTTTTATCCAAGAAACTTTATGTTTTTCCTAGGTAAAACAAATGATTGTACGTTCAAATCTCACCCTGAAATAATTGAAAAAAAAAAAAGAAAAGAAAAAAGATCACAGATGCTATACTGTTATGGATTTTCTAGTGTCGTGTCATTCTCAGAAGAATAGTACATCAATAATATTCAAAAACAATCAATGCTATTGGGACATTATTTAAGGACATAATGAGTTGTCACCAATAAAATAATAATGAATTCATTTAATGTTACAATGAGACTTATCATTAAATATATTTCAGTATCATTTCATTAGTGACAACTCATTATCTCCTCAAATTATGTCCCAATAATATTAATATTCAAAAACTAGGTGCAGCCCAAGGTGCGGGCACACTGTTTATTGTTTGGTGTATCCGAGAAATCTTTGCTGATGATTCAATGGTTGCCAGTTGGAGAGACCTGTTAAACTCATCGGTAGCTTGTGTGTTTTGAATTGAATCCTCGATCAGTCTCCATCGACTGAGCTGGAGGCTGGAGGCTGGAGGCTGGAGGCTGTAGAAACACCATTTTGTTAATTCCTATATATTATTGATCAATCGTAAAAGACAAGGTTAGAGAAAGGCATGCACAACTACATAGATTTGCATTTGTCTCTATTGAATGAAAACAAAACAAGTAAGTCATAAGTACATTACACTCCAAATACCCATTAAATCCTACTTTTTCAAAGATTATTCCGAACAAGTATCAATTTGTTTTATTGTCTATTTTACCGCTTATAGGCAGAGAACAATTTCGGTAGTATTTTTTATTTTCAAAATATTAATTAAAAATTAAATAAATATATACATTTAATAATTATCAACTTAGTGATTTCATTAGGTTTTTCACAAGCCTTGGTTGGATATATATCTTATCACTAATGACACAATTAATTATTACACAAAGTGTTACTTTCCAAAAAAAAAAAAACGTGAGGTGTTTACAGCAATGCCTAAAAAGGGTATGTTATTAGATTAGCAATAGGTTGTAGCATTAAATTATTCTTACGACCTCAAGTTAAGTAGGTTAATTCGGGGCATGTTTAATTTATGTATTAATAGATTTGATTGGACTAATTTAATTCGGTCATGCTATAACATTAAGTTTAGATTGGGTTATAGCAACTCGATATTAATTTCTTATTAATCCGAACCTGGTTCACTATTATCATGCAATATCTAATATTAAGTATTAATGAATACCACACGATATGCTATATTATTTTTAGGGCGAATTTTACTTTGAACCTTGAAAATTTTTAAAATTTTCACTTTACACTCTCAGAGATTAAATTTCTTGCGTTGCACCACTCAATGTATCAAAAGTGTTACAATGTGACCATATTGTGAACTTTCTGTTAGTTTTTTTGTCAGTGTAAATAGGTTGGCTTTTGATAAAAAAAATAATGAAAACTAACAAAAAGATTATATTGCAACATTTTTGATACATTAAGAGTGCAATATGAAAAATTTTAATTTTTAAGACTGCAAAGTGAAAAACTTGAAATCTTTTAGGGTACAAAATGCGAAAAGCTCTTATTTTTAACAAGTTTAATATTAAAAACACAATGATTTTATTACCCTTTCAAACCTAGATCCACACCTTCATATAAAAGTTACACATTATACAAACTCTTGCCCTCTATATTACTTTGTCATTTTTAATTTAATATCATATACTATTACCTAATCCAAACATAAATTTAGTATTATAATTATTGATTTTTACCTTATCCCAATCTTAATCCAAATTTGTTTACACAAATGATAGAATCAAATAATACCATTTGCATAGATTGAATGAGAATCAATTATCCAATCTCATCATTTGTTTATACCCGAACCAAAGATGCCCAATAGTTTCAACTTTGGATGGGGCTATTCCAATTTCCCATGCCACGAATATTTTCTGTTAGTGTTAATGGAGAGGTTTTTCAAGAAAAAAATAACAAAAACTAGTAAAAGGGTCACATTATAATATTTTTGATATATTGAAGGTGTAATCTGAAAAATTTTATGTTTGAGGGTGCAAATTAAGAATCCTTAAATCTTTCAGAAAGCAATGTAAAATTCGTCCTACCTATTATGAAATTTTCACCATTTTATATATGAGTAATGTTGTTTGAACCTAAAAAACTGACTTAATGATGTGATTTTATTAGAACTATTGGATTAATGTTTGATGGGACCCACAGTCAATCTAAAGGTTATATTAAATTAGGTCAACAAATTAGGTCAATAAATTAAGTCTCAATAACATTGCTCTTTATATATTTCATTCCGCTAGTAACTAATTCCACAAATGAGCCACATTAGTGACTAAATTGATTACAATTGCCATGTTAAATATATTTGTTCCACCAGTCCTATAAATCCCAAATTCTAATTTGTTTTCTTTTATTTTTAATAATAAATAAACTTCAAGGCTGTCTATGTTTAGTATTGGCAATGGTGGAACCAGAATTTTTATTTATTCCGGGTTAAATTAAGCATTCATACAACTAACAAAATACAAATGTAAACTCATAATTTTCAACCAACCATATACCGATGGAGTTCAACTAATTATTGAGACTACACGAGTTCAAATTTTCACACCCAGCCTATTAATTCCAACAAGTACTCTGATCAATTGTCCAGAAAGGAAGGCTTCAGGTGTTGCTAATAGAGTAGTTAGCATACTTTGTCAACAGTGGCAAGTACAAGCATATAAAGTGGGGAATACTAGCAAAAAAGCAGAAAATTTTAGATGGACAAGTAACATAAAGTTACCTTGGGAAATAATGCTCGGCAAAAAGCACACCATGTTCCATAAAATTCAACAATAACCAGTCTATCTCCAGCCTGACTCAGACAACTCAAAAATTCTTGTGTAGAATGAATATATATCATATTTGGTCCTGCATTTTTTTCCCACCATTTTGGCTGGTCAGTTTCAGCAACAGTTGCATGTACCTGAAGTGGACATCCAACAAAGAAACATAACTAACCTTAAGAAAAGATGTAATTGACATATTGTCATGCTTTCAGTTTATTAAAAATTTGTGGTACTATCATAAAAGTCACATATATTCTTTTGATCAGCTAATACTCCATGACAGGAAGTATATCATTGCATCAGAATAGATTGCACGAGTTTAGAGATCGAGTGCATGTGAAGAGCATGGCAGCCATATTAGTTTTCTCTTCTTCCACCTCTTTTCTTCCTAGAGTGCCAGATAAGTAAGAATTTAAGAGTGCCAGAGAAAGCCCACTCAATTACATACAAAATATACAACAGGGCAACCAAAGAAAAAACCAAACAGAAGAAAAACATCCTAATTCACCACTCAGATCATGGTCAAAAGCATGTTTACGTTTTAAATTGTTACAAGAAAGTCATATGAATCAACATCTAAGAATGAATAGTTGCAAGAAAAAACAAAATGCACCAATCATAAGCTAATCTTGAATGTACGGAAAATTAAGAAGATCGAACAAAACATATACTAAATTGAATTTCATGAGCCCTATTTGCAAAACCAGGAAACTGGACAAGCCGATATTTGACCCAAAGGTAAAATCAAGGCCATGCTCATAACTCATATGGGATTCAGAATGGTACAGTTCTTTCATTTTTTCTTTTTTTTGGTTTAATTCTGTCAATATTTGAGCAATCATCAAGCTTGACAAGCAAGAGTATAGTTGGGAAGCAATTCTTATTAAACACACATTGTTGTTAAATCCCCTAAAACAGTAGTTGCAAAGAAAACAAAACAAAACATTCCACCAGATGGGTCACATATTTTCATTACCTGCAACCGAAAACCATGTACAATTCAGCTAGACTTTGCCCAACCAAAGTAAGGCCTCTTTGGTTTTCTCTAACAACAAATTAATAACAAACTTTCATCCATATTTTTTTAACTCAAAACTACATACAAAAACATCCAACTGAACTATATGGGCATAACTCAGCAATTCTGAAAAAACGGGTGGTCCATAATTTCAATTAGGAGGGATAGAACACCCTATAAAACACTCTTGCTTCCTAGCACTATATTTAAGTAGTTAAATTTCTAAAACTTTTAATTTCTCATAACTAGGGACTTGAGAAAACAAAACCCTCCACTCAGCTGCGATAAATCCAACTAATTAGCCCAGTAGAATTGACCTTCCCATTCGAATATCAAACTCAAAGTAACAAAAACACATAATGCAAATCCTAAAATTGGCGTTTCCCTTCGTTTACTCCGCCACCAAACAGGTAGTAATTTTAAGGCAACAAAATTCCAAAAAAAGGCTAAATTATTTACCTTGAACGAATGTAATTGCTTGCGAGGTCTAAAGGCAACACGAGGAACAAAATCAACAAGAGCACAAGAGGAATCGGCAATAAAGAAAGCTTTCTTGCGTAATTTTTTATTGGGTGGAAGACCCGGTTGGAGAGAATTCAATGACAACGACAAGGAGGCCAACAGAGAAGAAGAGGAAGAGAGCCGTAATGAAGAAACTGAGAGAGACCGCTGATTTCGGGGGAAGTGACTGAGAGACCGACTGATGTCGGAGAAGCTTTGCAGGTGGGTTGGGTTTGTTGGGTGAGATGAGATTTTTTGGGGTGAGCTGGTATTTAGTGGTAAATTTTTATTTATTTTTATTCTGGGCTTCGGCCCACTTTAGCCCAGTAATAAATCCATCCTTGAGTATTGACATCAGATTATACTTGGACTTCTTCCAAATTCCTCTCGGATCTTATGACATTGGTTTTTCCGTAGAACTGCAACTATGTTTTGGCATATTCGGATTGTTTCACTCGTGAAAAAAGCTGAAACACTTCTATCAATAAGCTTACTGGATGGTGGTGCAGTTCACAATTTCCAATGCATAACATTTGATGTAACGAACAAATTTTTGGCCGGTAATAGAACTTCGTATTCATATCCTTTCAAATTCTGCACCTTGGTATGGAGAAAATATTGATTATCATGATTATACCACGTCATCACACTGACGTGCATAGTATCACCATACAATCAGTGTCAGCATTGTTGACATAGTATAATTATACAAATTTTTTTTTTTTAGGGGAGGAGGATTTGAACTCTTGATCTTAAGAAAGTAAAACTTTCATAAGACAAAGAATACCATCAGACCAAACCTCATTGGTAAAATAATTTTTCATGAAAGAAGAGAGAGTCATACAATAAGAAAATAACAAAAATGAATAAAATAGAGTCACTTCTTATCATTCAGGTGGTTATGTATTATATGATTTGGGCGGTTATGAGTTTTAGTGATGCCCACTTATTTACTTATTAGTGGACGATTACACCACATGGTACTATTGACGTTGTGTAACGGTTACGCCCGACATTTTTTTCGTGAAAGTGATGATGTGGTTGTTATTGTTACACTAAATATTTTATCCTTGTTATAAGGGTAACGGGAAGATAATAACAGCCCAATACAAAGAATGAAATTCAATCTTATTGAAAAGAAGTGGGAAAAAAAAATTGAGGGTTATAAGAGGGTGGATATAATTTGTCTAATATGTTAGTGGGATAGATGAAGATTTCGATTAATTGAGTGATTAATAAGATGGATTTAGTTGTTAAAAAAGTAGGTATGAATAAGGTCAATTTAGTAATTTTGTGTATACGAGCACAGTTACCACTAGAATATGTGTGTCTCTTACTTTCTAAAAATACATACATTACCTTAACGAAAATGAATAGCCATGCCATGATTGGTTTACGTTTAAGGTAACAAAAGAGCAATATTTACAAAAATGGTGCAACTTTCTGACAACTATATATTCAACCCTCATATCTTTGGTTTGTTTCGGACCTTTGTCCTCCAGAAGAGTGAATCGGCAAATCCCAAACAGTTTGCCCTGCAAGAACAATTCTGTAAGCATGGTCTCTTCAGTGTCTTTCTCTCTTATTTTCTTCATTAACTCCATGTTTTCTGCTATATTGATTCTCTTTTCTTATCGTTTTATGCAGTCTTTTGTGTTGAACCCTCTCTCTCTCTCTTTCACACACACGCACACAGAGTAATTGAGCAGCTTTGAAGAAGAAGAATATGGAGGAGGGAAAGGGCGATCTCACTGCACTATCTTCGTTGGCAAACGCCATATGGAGAGCAACTCTTGCGGGATCCATAATATGGCTGGTGGTGAATCTTATAATGAAGGAGTTGGTCAAGCCAAGCCACCATGTTGAACCAGTATTCAGAGCACTGAGTGTGTTCTTCTGTATTGCTCTCATTGCCGTTGCCATTGCTCTTATATGCATCGCTCTTCTAGATTGTCAAAACATATGCAAAGCAGTCATGGGTTGGATGGCACCATCTCCCTCTACTACAGTTGCCCAACACGGTCAAGAGATAGCGTAAATATTGGGTGTAATGATTAGACCACGTCAGTATTATTATGTGATGTAACCGTTCAATGGAAAACAAATAAGTGAACAAGTTTAAATTAATCTTCATTTGTATGATTTTTCCACTAATTATGGGTATGATTATCTTTTTTTTGGATGCAAACGTTTAGGTTTTGGAAGACCATCATCTAAGTCAAATTTGTGATTNATTTCCTGAACTGAATTTTCTTTTTGAACTATATATATATATATATATAATTGATTTGGTGCATGAGGCAGCACACAAGCTAAAACNTAAAATTGGCGTTTCCCTTCGTTTACTCCGCCACCAAACAGGTAGTAATTTTAAGGCAACAAAATTCCAAAAAAAGGCTAAATTATTTACCTTGAACGAATGTAATTGCTTGCGAGGTCTAAAGGCAACACGAGGAACAAAATCAACAAGAGCACAAGAGGAATCGGCAATAGAGAAAGCTTTCTTGCGTAATTTTTTATTGGGTGGAAGACCCGGTTGGAGAGANAAGTAGCACCCACAATATGGTAAATAGGGGTGCAAGTAGGATGGATTGAGCGAGTTAAAGGGTCAATCCAAGTTCAACCCAACCTGACCTCAACCCGAACAATTCCAGTCCAAGACCAACTCATCATTAAAGTTTTGAACTCAAGTTCAGCTTTTGTTACACAATTCAGATTGAAATCAAGTTTTTCATNACGACAAGGAGGCCAACAGAGAAGAAGAGGAAGAGAGCCGTAATGAAGAAACTGAGAGAGACCGCTGATTTCGGGGGAAGTGACTGAGAGACCGACTGATGTCGGAGAAGCTTTGCAGGTGGGTTGGGTTTGTTGGGTGAGATGAGATTTTTTGGGGTGAGCTGGTATTTAGTGGTAAATTTTTATTTATTTTTATTCTGGGCTTCGGCCCACTTTAGCCCAGTAATAAATCCATCCTTGAGTATTGACATCAGATTATACTTGGACTTCTTCCAAATTCCTCTCGGATCTTATGATATTGGTTTTTCCGTAGAACTGCAACTATGTTTTGGCATATTCGGATTGTTTTCACTCGTGAAAAAAGCTGAAACACTTCTATCAATAAGCTTACTGGATGGTGGTGCAGTTCACAATTTCCAATGCATAACATTTGATGTAACGAACAAAGTTTTGGCCGGTAATAGAACTTCGTATTCATATCCTTTCAAATTCTGCACCTTGGTATGGAGAAAATATTGATTATCATGATTATACCACATCATCACACTGACGTGCATAGTATCACCATACAATCAGTGTCAGCATTGTTGATATAGTATAATTATACAAATTTTTTTTTTAGGGGAGGAGGACTTGAACCCTTGATCTCAAAAAAGTAAAACTTTCATAAGACAAAGAATACCATCAGACCAAACCTCATTGGTAAAATAATTTTTCATGAAAGAAGAGAGAGTCATACAATAAGAAAACAACAAAAATGAATAAAATAGAGTCACTTCTTATCATTCAAGTGGTTATGTATTATATGATTTGGGCGGTTATGAGTTTTAGTGATGCCCACTTATTTACTTATTAGTGGACGATTACACCACGTGGTACTATTGACGTTGTGTAACGGTTACGCCCGACATTTTTTTCGTGAAAGTGATGATGTGGTTGTTATTCTTACACTAAATATTTTATCCTTGTTATAAGGGTAACGGGAAGATAATAACAGCCCAATACAAAGAATGAAATTCAATCTTATTGAAAAGAAGTGAGAAAAAAAATTGAGGGTTATAAGAGGGTGGATATAATTTGTCTAATATGTTAGTGGGATAGATGAAGATTTCGATTAATTGAGTGATTAATAAGATGGATTTAGTTGTTAAAAAAGTAGGTATGAATAAGGTCAATTTAGTAATTTTGTGTATACGAGCACAGTTACCACTAGAATATGTGCGTCTCTTACTTTCTAAAAATACATACATTACCTTAACGAAAATGAATAGCCATGCCATGATTGGTTTACGTTTAAGGTAACAAAAGAGCAATATTTACAAAAATGGTGCAACTTTCTGACAACTATATATTCAACCCTCATATCTTTGGTTTGTTTCGGACCTTTGTCCTCCAGAAGAGTGAATCGGCAAATCCCAAACAGTTTGCCCTGCAAGAACAATTCTGTAAGCATGGTCTCTTCAGTGTCTTTCTCTCTTATTTTCTTCATTAACTCCATGTTTTCTGCTATATTGATTCTCTTTTCTTATCGTTTTATGCAGTCTTTTGTGTTGAACCCTCTCTCTCTCTCTTTCACACACACGCACACAGAGTAATTGAGCAGCTTTGAAGAAGAAGAATATGGAGGAGGGAAAGGGCGATCTCACTGCACTATCTTCGTTGGCAAACGCCATATGGAGAGCAACTCTTGCGGGATCCATAATATGGCTGGTGGTGAATCTTATAATGAGGGAGTTGGTCAAGCCAAGCCACCATGTTGAACCAGTATTCAGAGCACTGAGTGTGTTCTTCTGTATTGCTCTCATTGCCGTTGCCATTGCTCTTATATGCATCGCTCTTCTAGATTGTCAAAACATATGCAAAGCAGTCATGGGTTGGATGGCACCATCTCCCTCTACTACAGTTGCCCAACACGGTCAAGAGATAGCGTAAATATTGGGTGTAATGATTAGACCACGTCAGTATTATTATGTGATGTAACCGTTCAATGGAAAACAAATAAGTGAACAAGTTTAAATTAATCTTCATTTGTATGATTTTTCCACTAATTATGGGTATGATTATCTTTTTTTTGGATGCAAACGTTTAGGTTTTGGAAGACCATCATCTAAGTCAAATTTGTGATTCTGGTATTAATTGGCCATTATTAATGGAAACCAAGAAGAAGAAGGTTACCAAATAAACCCTGCAATTTAATGTGTGAGATCTCTTCCCATTTTCCTAGCCATTTGTAGCAATACAAGGATAATAGAAATCTTATTTGTGTGATTACAGAAACTACAAAATAGGATTTGAATGCCTTCTAATCCAATTTCTCAAGTAGCACCCACAATATGGTAAATAGGGGTGCAAGTAGGACGGATTGAGTGAGTTAAAGGGTCAATCCAAGTTCAACCCAACCTGACCTGAACCCGAACAATTCCAGTCCAAGACCAACTCATCATTAAATTTTTGAACTCAAGTTCAGCTTTTGTTACACAATTCAGATTGAAATCAAGTTTTTCATTAGTCAAAACTAAATTGAACCAAAAATAAGGTTTAATTTTGTGTTATGAAATTCAACCTAAATTCTATAACTCTCATTAGTAAGGCTAATTAGAAAATACAAAAAAAAATAAAAAAATTTACATTTGCAAATGGCTTAAAACATTAAAAACAATGGATGAGTGCAGCGCAAATGCCCTAACATTCTGTGTCTGGGTGTGTATTTTTTATTTTTTATTATTTTGGAATTTCAAGTTAAACTCAGGATTGAAATTGGGTCAAACTCGTTTTCATAAATTTGGGTTGTTTAGATTGAACCCATCAACCCAATGCCCAATCCCAAGCATTAACCGAATTCTATTCGAGTTGAGAATTTTTTACTCAAACTCAAGTCAAATATTAAAAACTTCAACTCGGATACTGAAAAATCTGGGTTGGGCTTTGATTTGCCCATACAAATTGCACCCTTAGTAGGGAACTATAGAAACATCGTAACAAAAACATGAAATTTTGCTTATAAGGTTATAAATTCGGAATATTGAGAAAGAACATACCCAAAAATGGAACCTTCAATACCAGGATATGATAATGGAATTAATTTTCCCTTTTTTCTTTGTTTTTTAAAAAATTTTCCTGAACTGAATTTTCTTTTTGAACTATATATATATATATATATATATAATTGATTTGGTGCATGAGGCAGCACACAAGCTAAAACTAAGGAAATGTACACATAATCTTTCCCACTTTCAATGGAATAATTCTCCTCAATTTAGTACTTTAGGTATAAAGATCATAACTCTTTCTCCGGAATTCGGTTTCCTTTAACAGGCATGACAGATATTTTGGGCTTTGCTTTTTTCTTTTCCTGGATAAAGCTACGTAGGTAATGCGGATGTATTGTGCCAAAAATTGACCTGCAATTTTTAATTTTAATTTAGATAATTTGCAACTATTAATTAAAAATAATAAAATAATTTTTTTTGCATATGTCACGTTTTTATTGGATGAAAAGAGAATGTATAATACCGAAAAATTAATTTTTAATACCATAGGTAGACCCTTCTTTTTCGGATTTGGCTTCTCTCTAATTGTGAAATAATCAATTGAGAAATAATTGACCACACTTGCTCTTTTTCGGGTTTGGGTTCCCTCCAATTGCAAAATAATTAGAACACTATTTTTCTTTTTGGGGTTTGGCTTCTTATTCTATCACTGGTGGTTATGTCATGGTGAAGAGGTGATGGACAAGTATTCCTCTTTTAAGTGGCTGGTGGTTGGCATTGCTTATGTCAAGCTGCTCATTAAAAACTTAGAAATATTGGTAACCTTGATTTGTACACGAAGTTTAGGACTTCTAAGAAATCATTCAAAGTAGTTACTATTTTTTGTTTTACTTTTTACTTGTGTATCATAGAAAAAAGTATAACTGACACAACAAGAAATGTTAGTGGGATTTTGATGGAATTTGTCTGATTCTCTAAGCAGGTCAGTGGGTTTCAGGCAGTAGCTCTCAATTGCCGACTTGGGTTATGTACAATTGAAAATTCAAACAACAAAATGACATAATTGGAAATTGAAGGACCAAAATGAGGTTGAATCCATACATGGGGAACCACTGGATGTAATGAATTCACTGGAATTGACCCATGGCCAATTACTCAGTCTCCTTGCATTGGACTACTTATTTGCAGGACAATGTTGCTTGAATTTATTAACTTAATTATTTATAATTATTGAATTGACAATGAAGGTCAATATTATGTGGGATCTATTACCGATCCAACAATTGTTATGAATCAGATCAATAAATTATGTTAACGAATTTAATTGAAATAATATTATTGTTATTCATAAAGTTGCATGAAGAATGTTAAACGAGGCTAGAAAAGCCAACAACAAATGCATGAGAGAAGAAAGTCAAGCATTTGTTTGGAAGAAAGTCGAGCACTTTGGTTTTTCTTTTCTTTAATATCTCATATGTCTTAGTAGATCACTGCAACACTACTCTGCTCACATATCGGACTAATGTTAGACTTTGTGCAAAGTTGTCTCTCTACACAAGGGGACAAAATCTATGGACGGTGACCTTAATAGACTACGTTTCATAAGATATTTGAAATCTTAACTTACCCCTCATGAGAGGTTTATTAGGTGGCTGAGATAGCACTAGGCTAACCCCATGGGATTATTCTGGTGCATTGTATTAATTTTTTTATATAGTCCATGGAACCTTCACCAACCGAGCTTATTTGTACTTATGGTTGTTAGTCAACTTGGACCCATGCGTAAAGCCTCCTCTTTACGTACAGGTGTTAAATCTAAAAGAGATGGTCTCAAAAAATATTTTTACGCTGTGAAGTATTGAATCTTAACCAATAACAATTTAAGGCATCTATCATCAAGTGACCGTCTACCACTTTTTGTGTTGTTTTGCTGACACATACAAATTACATTCTACATATTGATCGATTGCGCCAAGGATTGGTTTGGAGATAGGTGAGATTCAATTGTTCCATGTTGAGAATTGGAGGATGTATAAGACAAAAGCCCATGACAATGATTTTGAATTTGAGGGGTGCAGTCTCTCTACCTCTCTCGTTTTTGTTTGGTTCTTCATACTCGGACTATGCCAAAGGCATAATAAAATTCAGTTTCGAGTGATTATGTGATGAAATTGCACAATTGTTGATTACTAGATTACCTGATCAGAATTTTGTTTACATATTATTTTGTAAGTTTGAGTTAATTTTTCCAAATTATATCGAAAACAAAAAAAAATGTAATATACCATATGAAAGTTAATTCTGCAAGTTCTTTACGACCAATTCTGTAGGGCGAGACAAAGTCAATACGGTATTTGCATTTGTTTTTCTAAACAAAGTAAGTACTTTTAGTGTGAAAAAATAAATTTATCAAAGATTTATTCAAAGGCAGGATCCAATCCTTCTGGACAATAATGAAGCAGTGATTTCTTTTTTTTTGAACAAAACAAAACAAGATATTCATTTCATTAAGTAGGAAAGTTGAAGTTACGATCAATCAAAAGAAAAGTCGTAAGTTCGCGGGGGAAAGCCTAACCAATTCAACGAAAGCAAATTGTTTAACACAGTAGCTGTTACCCAATGAGCAGCCTTGTTATAGACTCTAAACTTGTGTAAAAAATTAAGGTGGTATAACTTAATATAATATCTAATGTCTTCGATAATAACACTAACTTCCCAAGAGAGAACAATTATTCAAAATAGTTGCATGTGTGATCAATAGTGCTTCTGCAAGGAGGCATGCTTACCTCACTGCCTCTGCTTTTTAACGAAGAAGTGATAATGACAGACTATAACTGGTAATTCTAAATAAGTAAGATAAGACTTTGTCGGGATGAGTTGAAGACAAAAAAACAATAAACTTTTGATCTTAAAATCGAGAGCAATATATATTGTAGAATCTATCCCCTCTATGAGATAATTGTGAATCGTCCAAAAAATCAAAAATCACTATCAAATACACCAAGAATTGCTATTTATAAACACGTAGTACTCAATGCGAAATATTTAAACGAATCCGTCATTTGAGTGGGTCATTGATAGATAAGATTCCTAACAATTCAAAATAAGCTTTATCATCTTTATGGTTTTCACCGGACTAGGAAAAGCTGATTATCTTAGCACATTACTCCTCTAATTTTTCTTTCTTGCTAACAGGTTGGCCAACGATTATATTTCCAAAGATAATGCCAACTAGAACCTTTCCCTTGAATGAAATTAAATTCTCTCNCGCTAACAGGTTGGCCAACGATTATATTTCCAAAGATAATGCCAACTAGAACCTTTCCCTTGAATGAAATTAAATTCTCTCCATCAGGAATTATAAGGAAACACAAGACTGGTAATATATTTAGCATAAAATCAAAAATAATAATACTATTTAGATCTAATTTATCGACATAATTTACTAATTTAATTCATCACGACTATTGAATTAGCAACGACAATTCCACAAAGTACTGGGGCCCTTTGATTAAAAATCAAATGTACAAACCTTGCCACTTCAAAGCNGCAACGACAATTCCACAAAGTACTGGGGCCCTTTGATTAAAAATCAAATGTACAAACCTTGCCACTTCAAAGCTAGTGCATCAATAACACCATCAAAGCTATCAAACCTGGAACTCACCACATCAACTCCTACACCCAACCTCTCAGCTCCGGCAGCCGTAACCGGTCCATGTGCCGCCACAATCAACGCCGGACACCTCTTCCTCACCATCCCCCAATCCAATCCAAACTCTCTCAAGCTCTTCAACAGTCCCTCCACCTCTCCACTACTAGTAAACACAATTGCATCCATCCCACCTCCTTCCACAGCCCTCCTCGCCACATCCACCGCGCTCACCGGCCCCGCCCACCTCGTCTCATACCCGTTTACCCGAACCGCAACCCATCCCTTCAAACCAAGGTCACGTATGAAATTAGGTACCACTGGTGGTTCTTCAAGGCCAGTGACTAATGGGACTGGACACAGTACTTTTCTTCCTCGTCCCAACCCGAGTGAATCAATCAGACCAGTTGGGGTTGCTATTCGAGGCACCAAGATTCGGATTCTATTTGGGTTTTTGCAGATTCGATTGATGAAAGACTCGTCTAGGAGCTCTGAGTCCTTGCCCAGAGCAGAGATTGTGAAGGTTTTACCATTTGGGGCCAATGGGGGTGTTTTGGAATCAGTCAAAACTTCTGAAAAAGCAGTGATTCCAGTTCTTGAAGTGAAAGCTATGGCGGAGAATTCTTCAAGTGGGGTTTTGGGGATTGGGTTTGGAGGTGAGAGGTAGTGTTGGATTGAGGAATTGGTTAGTGGGGTGGCTTCAACAATGACAGTGGGGCACCAGAGAGGAGTCCAGTTCTTGAGATGGATGAGATGAGAGAGTCGAAGAGCATAGTTTTGCGGTGTGGTGAAGGCAATTANTTGGTTAGTGGGGTGGCTTCAACAATGACAGTGGGGCACCAGAGAGGAGTCCAGTTCTTGAGATGGATGAGATGAGAGAGTCGAAGAGCATAGTTTTGCGGTGTGGTGAAGGCAATTACACGGTTATTGTGGTCTGAAAATGGAGTTGATGGATTTGGGGTTGGGGTTGGGGAAGGAGGTTGCAGATTTGCAATTATCATTGCTTCATCATTCAGGGAGACGCAAGGGGTGTCTACAAAATTTTATTGACCGTCGTACTAATTCCGAACATCATGACCGACTCGGGGGGTTTGACTAGGCTATCAACAAAATTTTTGTGCCATACCATAAATCAATTNTACAAAATTTTATTGACCGTCGTACTAATTCCGAACATCATGACCGACTCGGGGGGGTTTGACTAGGCTATCAACAAAATTTTTGTACCATACCATAAATCAATTTTTTGAAGTATTTATGCTACTTTTTTGCACTCACATTTTAAGTCTTTTTTTTAAAATATTGTTTGAATTCACTTGTCACATTTAATTTTTTTTGTCAAGAAAAAAAAAAAAAAAAAAGAAGGACAACTAGTAGATAGTAACTCCTGAGTATAATCATAAGAGTCTCTCTACTGTAAAATATTCGATTTAAGTCATAACTACGAACTCATAAGGGTAATTCATCACCAAAACTAAGTAAAAAATCACATTGCTNAAAAAAAAAAAAAAAAGAAGAACAACTAGTAGATAGTAACTCCTGAGTATAATTATAAGAGTCTCTCTACTGTAAAATGTTCGATTTAAGTCATAACTACGAACTCATAAGGGTAATCCATCACCAAAACCAAGTAAAAAATCACATTACTCTTATGAATCAAACTCTGCTTAATAACAATATGGGAATTAAAAACGACTCTAAATAAATACGATTTATCGCTTGACCACCAACAGGAATGGTCACATTTTTAGATTAAATTTATCATTTTTGGGGTGAAACTTAACACTTTTTAGGAATTTTTTTTTTCACTCTTAGGCAATGATACAAANTAAAAACGACTCTAAATAAATACGATTTATCGCTTGACCACCAACAAGAATGGTCACATTTTTAGATTAAATTTATCATTTTTGGGGTGAAACTTAACACTTATTAGGAATTTTTTTTTTCACTTTTAGGCAATGATACAGAGAAGTAAAAATCAGAACCATAGTGTTCTCCCGAGTTTGACATGCACTTATTTTGTTATTCACCTGAATAAATTTAAATTTTAAATTCTGAAAAAGAGGCTGGATATGTGATTAAATTAGATATCTCTGGTCCTTATTTTTTTTTAAACTCAAATTTAAATTTGAATAAAAAAACTCTTAAAAATTTTCTNGAATAAATTTAAATTTTAAATTCTGAAAAAGAGGCTGGATATGTGATTAAATTAGACATCTCTGGTCCTTATTTTTTTTTTAAACTCAAATTTAAATTTGAGTAAAAAACTCTTAAAATTTTCTTTTATGCTAGACTCATACCTATACCAAATCAAGGAAGATTCAACTCTATACTCAAACTTTTAATAGTGAGATTTTACCATCCTTTAAAGATTCAATGGTCATTTTTTACTCCCTTTTAAATTTGAGTTTGTCATCATTTAAATTTGAATTTATCTTCATTTAAATTTAAGTTTCTCCTTTGAATAGGTGTATACCAAATCAAATTTTTTACTCTTTTTTAACTCAAATTTAGGTAAAGGTACGAGTCTCCACTGGAGATGGTCTAAATCTGGATGGAGGCTGTGTTTTTTTTTTTTTTTTTTGGCCAAAGGATGGAGGCTGTGTTTAAATACTTAAAATAAACTTATTTTCCAACTTACCAAAAACAATATGTAACCTTTTTACAAATTAATCAAATTTCTATTTCTAAATGACACACGAATGTGAAGAAAATGAGAGTAAAATTGCTAAAATAAACCCGGAATATTTTTGTATTCGTATTGNCTTATTTTCCAACTTACCAAAAACAATATGTAACCTTTTTACAAATTAATCAAATTTCTATTTCTAAATGACACACGAATGTGAAGAAAATGAGAGTAAAATTGCTAAAATAAACCCAGAATATTTTTGTATTCGTATTGGTTTGTTTTTGGTAAACTAAAATCAATCTAACCATATCATTTTTGAACTCAAAAGTTATACATAANAAGAAAATGAGAGTAAAATTGCTAAAATAAACCCGGAATATTTTTGTATTCGTATTGGTTTGTTTTTGGTAAACTAAAATCAATCTAACCATATCATTTTTGAACTCAAAATGTGCATACTCACCTATAGATCAGGTGCATTATGCACTTCAAAATTATCTTGCAAGACTCAAATTGAAATCTCGATATAATAATCCCATATATTTTCATGAATTAAGATATCCTTGGATAATTTTTCTTTAATATATACTTTCTTTTCATTTTTTAAATGCTTTTTCAAGTAATGACCCAAAAATAATTACTTTTTCGGGTAACATTTACCTTTATATTTTCGGCTTTTCATTTTTTTTTTTTTTATTGCCAAGATTTGTTCCATTCCTCCATCAGATAACTTTAGTTTTTTAGAGTAATAGCATTTTTAGTCGTATGCACATTTTATCAATTTAATCCTTACAATATCAATTTTTTTAGTTTGGTCCTTAAAATATTCAATTTGTGATTAAATGATTCCAACACAAATGAACCATTAAATTTTTGACAGAATAGACACGTGATACCATTTGAAAGAATGACACAAAATCACTTCTGTCAGAAAATTTAACGAATTATCTGATTAAGAACCAAAATGAGACAACTTAAAACTTAAACAACTATTAGCCCCAGAAGAATATGATATCACGACTGGGGTTCAAGACATCGGACTAGATTGTCTAGAAATGTTTCCAATGTTTCCNTGATATCACGACTGGGGTTCAAGACATCGGACTAGATTGTCTAGAAATGTTTCCAAAGTTTCTGATTCTTGAATCGAAGTTTGATGTCACTTATGTTTGGTCCCTGCAGTTCATGTTAATTTAAAAAAAAAAAAACTAGATTCACAGACACTGCTAGATAGAAGTGCATGACAAGGAATGGTCTCACATACAAAAAGCAATTAAGCTTGGATGTGCATAACAATAGCTATCTCGACCCTTCAGAAGCAGAAACTCAGAGCAACTTTTTTGGGAAGATAGCATTTTGTTCTGTCATTCTCAGTATTCAAGTGATCCATGAGATCCAAGTCCAGAAACAAGGTCTCGACCATCAGTGCCCAAAACCGTTCATCCTTTCAACAGCATTCTGACTGAATAATTCCGCCTCTTGCCTCCCTAGATTATGCACATCCTCCGGTGAAAGGATCTTGATATACCAGACATTATTCACAAATGCCCTGCACAGGGATTATGTATTCTGAGTTCATAGCAAATATGGCACTGTCTTAACTTGGCTGACAATGCAATTCCCATGGGTAATCTAATGTCCTATAATTATTTCCCCTAGAAGAACATCTTATTCAATATAGAACTACCCAACACGGTGGAAGAGTTATTTTGATGGGATTCCAAAGACGCCATATGACAATCAGCAGTATAACGGAAACTGAAGGCTAAAATAACACTCAAAATGTTGAATCCATGTGAAAAAAAAATAGTTACAGCCTAAGGGTCTATTTGGTTAAGAAGAAAAAAATGATGAAAATGAAAATAATAGAAAGTGTAGTGAAAAAAAAAAATAATAGAAAATATATTTTCATGCATGTATTTGATTTGAATGAAAAACTAATGAGAAAGTTTTAAAAAAATTTCTTTCTATTATTTGAAAGAAAAGAAAGTTACAAGAAATTTTTTATAATTATTTAAATTACCTTTAATTATATTAAATCAATCTAAAGAAGAAAAAAATATGTATTATAATTATAAATTATAAAAATTTTAAAAATTGCTCGAAACATAATTTTGGGACAAGCACCAGCATAAAAAGTCTTTGGGCCAAATTATATGATTAATCAAATCTATACCACGATTTTTAAAATTAATAACCAATAAAATATTTTAAGAAATATAAGGGCAAAATGAGAAGTTATTTATAGACCACAACTTTTTTGCATTTCTTTGTGTTTTATACAAGAAAAAAAAAGTAAGTTAGTTGTGAAAAAATTCAAGTATGAAAGAAAATTATTTTTTCTATCATTTTCATTTCATGCTAACCAACGTTCTTGCATTTTCTATCATTCTCCCCACTAAACAAACGGACCCTAAAGGTCAAATGCAATCAAGTACTTACTCCCATGGGTCGTCTCCAATAAGAAGGACATCATCCTCCCTATCAACAAATACAAGCTGCCAGCCTGATCTTTGAGGGTCTTCAAGCAACCCTTCAATCCCAAACATCCGACCCAGTTCCTCTCGCAGCTCATGATAGCTGCTGAAACGGGTGATGTCCAGTGACCTCCCAACCGACCCAGATTTGTAAACCTGCACAAACACAGAGCTTGATCCACACAAGAATTTGATGTATGTACACTTACTAATAAACAAGACCACTCAATCTGTGTCACTGGCACCTTGACAAAATCAGAAGACTCTTCCACGTAGCCATACAGAGAACTCTGAAACCCAGAAGCCCCTAGTGGCACAGAGGATATACTCGCGTCAACTGAAGAAGTACAAATGCTGGAGATAGTGTTGGGTAACAGGAGCCCAGATGAATCAATATTAGCACAGTAACCAGTTTGATTCTGGCCATCCAAACTGGAAATTTCCTGCTCCACAGCAACATCTTTCCCAGAATATGGTGAGAGTGACATGGTACTAGTAGTATTGGCATGCTGATGAGCAAACTTTGGTACCCAGGATTGTTGAGGTGGCTGTTCAGCTAGCATGGACTGACCAGTTCTAGACAAATTCAAAAGATTACCTCTCCCTTCACAACTTAGCAAACCCTGCATATTCTGCACACTGGTAGGAGCAATAGAAGCAGGAAATTTGTTGTTAGAATCTGAGAAGTCTGTTTTAAAACAAGGAGAGGGGAGATTTGATGGCAGCCTCTGCTGGAGCTGACCGCTTTGAATCAGAAATGCCTCCTGATAAGTATGTTGCTGTTGCTGTTCCTCCGCTTGATTGTTCACCAGTATTGGTCGAGAGAGGTTCTCTGGTAGCATTTGGGTGTGTGAACGCATGATATGTGGAGAACTGGATTGCTGAATGGCTTGCTGCTGCTGCTGCAACTGTGAACTATGGCTGCCTGAATGTTGAAGATATTGGACAGGCTGCTGTAACTGCATTAATTGCTGTCGCACTGAATCTCCAGGTCCTAAATTCTGCAAACTTGCTGCCAGCATTGCTTGGTACGGCTGATTAAGATCATGTTGGAGGAATGCTGGATCGACTCTCTGCTGCATNACTTGCTGCCAGCATTGCTTGGTACGGCTGATTAAGATCATGTTGGAGGAATGCTGGATCGACTCCCTGCTGCATCCAGGGAAACATACCAACAGAATGAAAATTCAGCGAGTGGAGTCCTTGTTCACCTGTTTCGCCTCGCAACCACGACATGCCATTGACTGCTTCATCTCTACCATCTATAACGAGCACAGGACGCAAAACATTTAAAAAACGCAAAAGAGAAAAAAAAAGAATAAACAAATGAGGAAACGAGTTTTCAATTTGGGAATGTCAACCCATTTAATATGCCTAATCACATGATAAAACATTGATTGCAATTTAAAACTCAGATACATAAGATGTATCAGAATCGCAAATAGACATCACTTATTTTTTCTCAAAGAAAGTTCCTCAAGTCAAGGATCAAAATTTTGTTTCGGTGTATTGTTTCGGTCACCTAAGAAATAGAAACGTTTCGATGTGTTTCAAAAACGTTTAGACTCGTTTCGTAAACATAATGAAAAAAATAAAAATTTAAGAATTATTTTTCTAATATATTGATTTACGTATCTTGAAATACTTTGAAGCATTCCGAAACAATTGTGCAAATGCATTGAAATATTATAATACATCTCAAAACATTATGAAATACCTCGAAATATAAGAATTTTGATTCCATCACTGATTCATTTCGGTCTCCTTGAAAACGGAACCATTTCGGACGTTTCGATCATTTCAAAACGATATTTTGATCCTTGCCCCAAGTACACGAATACAAACCATGCATTGTCAATACAATGCCTTTTTCTTTTCTTTTTATGTTAGTGGTCCTGGTCAAAAATATCATTGCTTCTCCACATAAACAACTTGGAGGAGCTAAATGTAGTATGGAATGTATTGATCTTGTCATTATCAATTGGGGGCAAAAAAAAAAAAGGAACAAAGAACCGAAAAAATACTGGAAGTTAACATGACTGAGCACATCAAACACAGATGCATGACAAAGTTTCATTCAACAATGACAAAGGCACCAAAATTTTAGTGCAAACATTTGTGGAACACGTACCTTGATAAGCTGAGGCTCCAGGATACCATTGCCGTTTGAGCCTAAGAGGAAACAATGATGGATACATGGGAAATGTTGTCAAAGGCTCAATTTCCCACAATGATGCGCGTGGCTGCCTCTCACCTGCAGTTGACTCATCCCAACCAACCTACATCATAAAAACCAAGGAATAAAAATAGAAAAAAACTGATCAATGCTTTTACTTGTGGTATTATTATGCCTGATATAAATTTTCTTGCAGCTATTGGCAACGCATAACTCGAGGAAAATAAATAATCAGATACTGGAAAACTGATTCTGGTATGTCCACCGCTCATAAGGTAAGAAATTTTCCCTGGGATTGTCAACAAAGGTAGATCAGAGGACGACATTCCGAAGCCTTTGAATCCAGACTTCACTAGTGAAGGTGCATGCACAAGACAAACAATATGGTAAAAAATTTAAATGGCAGTATAATTGAAATTATGAAATTGCCATTTGGTACAACCACACTGAAGGCAATGGTTGTACCTAATTATAATTATATGTGGTTAATGTGATCCAGCTTTTGAAGGCACCGGACACAAGTCTACATACGTGTGAAGAAAGAAAGCAAATTATAGATCCCAAATCAGCAGGCACTGCACTAAACAGTGATCATGAAATGTCATTTTCAAGCACCAGAATGCTATCAATAGCAACACTCATTCCAGTTCAAAACAAACTTTACAGCTATTGGTCACATTCCCAATTTGATATATGCACATTAATTAGACAGTTTTCTAGTCAGTTGTTCATTAAGCACCAGCATACACTAGACATAAAACAAAATCAACATAGATGAGGCCAATTTTTTGCGAGTGTCAAATTCTCCACACATACATGAAATCTGTTTTCGTGTTCAGAAACAAAAAGAGGTGAGCTTCTACTTTCTTACCCGAGAATATTTACAAAGGGAAGACTTGAAAGGCATACAAGTACACTTCTTGTAGATGAGTACTAACTCATTCCAATCCAACTGCGCCAGACTATCCATACTTTTCAATCCTTTAATTATTCTTTCAGAAGTTTAAAGATTTTAGGTGAATGTGAAACTTTAGATCGCTACCTAATCTTCAGCTTGGATTCAAATAGTATGTATCCATGTACTCTAATAACATAATTGGGCCAGAGTCCAGATGAATATATTAGACCCAAAAGGTAGGATGTTGAGATTGTCAACAGCCCTAACAATATGAAGTGATGTGGTTTTTGCAGAAGTAAACAGTATTTGATGAAATGATCAAGGGCCAGGTAACATCACAATAGTCCTTCAATAATATTAGAGGTATGGTTTCCCATCCACCGGTTAAACCTATCTATCCTGTTTGAATTAGGAGCCCTTGAAGGTTTGCCTATGTCAAAAGATATAATGCTAAGAGAGGGTTGATCAAATGATATAATAGATAAAAACACAAGAACTATGGTATCAAAGCTTCGGTTCCCTGAGGTTTAGTGTTCAAGTCTAACTAAAACGCTCAGAACCAATTTGTCCTCCTCCCCCAACAACGTGCAAAAAATACAAAAACACACACACAGAGGAGTGTGGGATGGTGAGATGCGAGGAAGCATGGGTTGCCAAAAAAACAAAATTGTGGAATTTGAGAAAGCATGGGTTATACCATAAGATAAACTCCTCAACCCAAATTATTGTTCAAGGCACCCCATATGGCCTTGGAAGGATGCCATGTTGAATCCATCCAAACCAAGAGCTTGTTATTTGGAGTCTGCTCTTGACAATCCCTTGTTATTGTCGAGATACACCCAGCTAGTGGAATCATATACAAATGCAGATTGGGCAAGTTCAGTTACTAATCAGAAGTCTATATCTGTTGGTTACTACACTTAGTTGGATGAAAATTAGTGACATGGCACTGTAAACACAATCAAAACCTAGAGCAATGGTCTGTTCAGACCTGTAGCACATGAAGTCTGTGAGTTACTCTGGCTAAAGATATCATCGAAACAACTTGGTTGTGCCTATAAAGATCCTATCAGACCTTATTATGACAACAAAGCAGCTACCGATATTGTTCGTATTTAGTGAACGCTCCTAGATTATGCGTGTCGAGATTGATAGACACTTCATCAATAGAAGTTGAATGTTAGCCTGATTTGTACTCGTTATGTGAAGACCAAATATTAACTTGCAGGTACCCAGACAGAAGAAATCCAAAGCAAATTTTTTCATGATATCCAAAACAAGTTGGACAGGTGTAATGTCTTCGCACCAGCTTACTCCCTAGAATATGAATTATTATTATTTATCGCCTTAGGGGATATTTTTGCCTTTACACCAAGGATGGTACGAGACTATCTCCCTCTTTTGCGACCATATACGCTCTTTGTTTCTTCCGTTTTCTTCTTCCTCCCTTTCTTTTTGCTTGATTATTAACGTATACTGAAATTCAACAATCAAGAATAGCTATAACTCACAACTAAATGCTGTTATAATGACAGTGCATGCACATGAGCTTTACCTTGACAGATCGCCAGTGAGAATTTGGCCAACGAACAGGATCTAAGTCACCAATCCCGGTAATCGTGCCCATGTATCTGGACAATGTGAACCACAATGCGTAAGAAAATATAGCTTTCAAGAAAACAAGGGATGCAAACATCATTGGATGAGAGACGCAACATTTAATGGTACACATTACGTATTTGCATTGAAGTCTTGAAAGCACCCCCAATTGACAGGTCCCCACAGAACAAAATCATGCCTTACTATTAGCTACAATGTGAACCACAATAGAAATACTGATCCAAGCATGAAATGCTAGAAAAATATTGACCAGCAGCTAAAAAAACTGCCTCGAATGGTGTTGTGCATGGTTCAAGGTCGCGATATCGGCCATTGAATCGGAGGACACTAATAATACACATTAGTCGCAATGCCACAGCACGGTATCAGCCGATACGCACAAAATGCAAGAGAAAAGCTCAAAAACTTCTATAAAATATATATTAAAAATTCTATAAAATTAAAATGACAATATTCATGCATCATGTGCCAAAAATGCATCATTTAGCACATTAAACATAATGGAGATGAATTATAGAGGCGTTAACGGAAATACTTAAGAAATTCAAAGATACAAAAAAATTGAAAAGTTTTGTATGCCTCATTATGGATCAAATAATTTGTATGTCTAATTATTATATGTCCAATTATATATGAAAAGGAAAACTATATGATCATTTAGTATAATATAAAACTATCTAATTACAGTACCAGAAAAATTAATTTTATTATGGAATAACATATCTTATTGAAGTTTAACTATAATATATATATGTGTGTGTGTTTGTGTGTGTGTGTGTATTATATATTTCCAAATTATATATGAAAAAGGAAAACTATATGATTTTTAGTATAATATTAAACTACCATATTACAATACCAAAAACTTTAATTTATTATGAGAGCAAAATATCTATTGAGACGTCAACAATATATAATCACATATAAGTAGATACATGTTATAGATATATGAATTTTAGATAAAGTATCATAAAATGTTTTTAAGTGTTAAAACTAAACTATTGCATTATGTCGGTAGGGTACCATAACCAAAGAAAAAAAAGCCCATACCCAAACCAAAAAATAGTCTTTTAGTCAAGAGTCTTTTGATTCCTCTGTCTTAGATGCTTCGTCAAAGACTACCAAGAGACACACAAAAACACACAGACTGAAAACGAAAGTTGTGGAGTCTTCGTCATAGAATGCTGTTGCTCGACTGCTTTCTGAGAAAGAAGAAGAAGAAAAAGAGGAGACTTTGATTTTCTAGGTTTGTGTGGTTTAGAGTTGAAAATTGCAAAGTTGCATGTGAGTTTCTGCATATGTGATTCTCGCTACTCTTCTTTTCCCTTTTTTCCTTGTCTTTGGCCTTACTGCTTATCTGAGATGTTGGAGATTTGCAGAACAATTCTAACCATATCAATTTGACTCATTCCGACTAGTCCAAGATTTGGATTGACTCGTTATGACTCTACGTTGGGCTGATACCTTTAATTCTAACTGAGTCGACACTGATTCAGTTATGTCCCGTGATATTTATGTGACGGGTATCGTTATTGGATCGGAGGTGGCCAAGTCAAATACAACTTGGCCCAGTCAGATACTTTGAACCCTAGTGCTGCATGTAAACATGCCACCTGTACCTCTATTGTTCCTTTTTCTTTTCCCAAGTTTTGGTGTACTGAAGTGGTGTGAAATGCAATAAATTTTGCATTTGCAAAATAAAATATATTCCTCCAGTCTTGTCCACCTTCCCTTTTTGCTTATGTAGTACTTTATCTTGAATAAAAATGTTTGTTTCTTATGAAACCAAAAAAGGTAATAACTTGGTAACTAAGTGCAGAAGTGCTAGTCCAAGGAAAAGCAATGAATGTCTGATGCAATGTCACAATTTCAACTTTGGACCCTGTATTTTGGTCGTATCTCCAATGTGTATGTCCTATATTTTTTTAGGATTTTCCATCTCAGATTTTCCGTGTCATGTAGTGTGCATGTTCCAAGTTCATATCCATGCTTCTTAGCTTCAATACAGGAAGTCCCAGAACTTGAATCAAACTCATCAGCTGAAAGAGAAAGTAGTTACCCATTTATTCAAGAAAATAATGCAATACCTGCGGACACTTGATTCTTCAGTTTCGAAAAGCATACGAAAGCGCATCCCAACAGAAACACGCGTGTGATATACAGCTTTAACATACTTCGAAAGGGGTATAACAAACTCAGATGGACTAGCCCTGGAGATAATAAACACATAAGAGTAGAAACAAAAGAAAAAAGTTAACTAAAATATTAAATTATCGACTGCTACCTTGGGTTATAAAATATTGTGAAACAGCTATTAGTAGCAGCAGCATGAGCAGCCGCAGCAAGCAGACCAATATGCATACTATCACTTGATAGAACAGAGGACGGCATCACAGTTTGTGGTCTAATTGCACGACGAATTCCCAAAAGGAGCTGATTTTTCTCATTCCTAAAATGGGACATAATGGAGGACTTTAGACAGAAAAAAACATAGCCACTAGATATCATACGCCATAGATAAGAAGTTGAAGAGTGAGCCATGATTAAACTAAAACGNGCTGATTTTTCTCATTCCTAAAATGGGACATAATGGAGGACTTTAGACAGAAAAAACCATAGCCACTAGATATCATACGCCATAGATAAGAAGTTGAAGAGTGAGCCATGATTAAACTAAAACGAAGTAGAATACCAGATGAAAAGAACAGAATCCCCAGCAACAAGTCTCTTGGCACTGACAAATACACTCCATCCAGTAGTAAGAAGATGCCGCTTGGGCTGTCCTGCATGAGGACAAAATACAACATACAGACATTACTTAATGAAAAACACGGCATATCAGCATATACAGAAAGCAACATATCAGTTTGTTTCAACTTCAATAAGAGATCACTAGCTACTGCAGCATGACCTATAAAGCAGTTGCAATATGACTTAACATACTCCACATCTATGGCTTGGAACATGTCCCAAGTACAAATACACAACAGAGAAGTAGCTTGAGTAGGAACACCAGAATAGTCCACCAAGCAACATTAAAGGATACATCTAGCATCCAGTTCTTCATTCTTGGTGAAGAACATTATTTCACCTCTAGGTTTGGGACCTCTCCAATCATAAATTTCCTCCAACTCTCTCCAAATCAAGCACAGGCTGTGCATTGGTGGGAGACTTTTATTTTATTCTTGGCTATTGCTCAATTTGTTTCCTTCATGGAGAGTACTGGGAGGAGTGGAGTGGATATAAACAGAAATTGGGAGCAATATTTACATAAAGTGGATCCTAAAAATTCAAACCTACATCATCTTAATTGCCACCATTGTTCTCATTTTCCATGACTAGAGTTTTTAAAGCACACTTTGATGTCACAATACCAAGTTCTAAAATAAGAAGTACCAATTCAAAGATGTTATTAGCTTATTCAATCTCCGCATCTTCACTAGTTTTCGCCATAGCCAACCGCACCACACTAACCCACTTTATAGCCCCACACATATAAAATATTCTCCCACATCCAGACAATTTTAAACTCTTAAGTCCTCCCCATATAAATAACAACCAACTCTTATCATCATCAAATTTTTATAATGTACAAGCAAACAGATGCAATTCTCTATATACAGTTGGGAACTATAAACTAATCCCAAAATTATCTTCTTATACATTATCTTAACTAAGATTCCAGATGTCACTTGCTAAGCTTTTTACCAAACCAGTGTCTTTTGCTAAGATTCCGGACTGTTTTGAAAGTATTTCTCAAACCCAAGCAGTTTAAAAACGTCAGTCCAACTGGCGTCGTTAGCTTAAAAAGATCATATGGACTGACGTTTTTAAGCTAGAGAAGTTAGTTCAACTAAAGTTTTTAGGGCACGCTAACTGTCTTGCAAATAAAACACATCAGTTGGACTAACGATTCTTTTTCCCCCTTGATCAATTTTTAGCATTTTAGTCTTTTTCAAGTTATGATTTGCACAATGTTTCAGATGTAGGTTAGGGATGCTTTCAATTTGTTTTTCTANGGACTAACGATTCTTTTTCCCCCTTGATCAATTTTTAGCATTTTAGTCTTTTTCAACTTATGATTTGCACAATGTTTCAGATGTAGGTTAGGGATGCTTTCAATTTGTTTTTCTAGTGGTATAATTGCACGTGGGTTCTGTTCTCCCTTGTGGTTTCGCAGTTTGGCAAAAATTTGTGTGTGGCTCTCTATATTTTCCTTCCATCTTTCTTGCAATTGACCTTTTGGCTTTTTTCCTTCTGGATGTCTGCTCGCATAACGAATCTACATCTTGATTTCGTGATGACTCATCCGATTCAGACGAGTCGGCTCCGAGTTTGGCAAAGTTAACCGTGTTGGTATCGATTCAAGAAAAACTCATTCTATGTGAAACAGGTATCGATATTGTAACAGTAGGGGCCGAGGTGGATACAACTTGGCCAAGTTGTATTAGACTCGGCCGATACTTTGAACACCAGATGAATACGATACTGGGATGAATAGTGGCTTTTCTTTCACATCCCACCCCACCTAAAAATAGTGGGACCTTGATCACAATCTATCAATGAAAAGACATCCCACATATTTAATCAAAGTGAAAAAAAATTCCTATAAAAACCTAATTGAAATAGAGTCCGACCAAATTAGTTCTTTCTCAACTTCAGATAAATAGTTCTTTTTCAACTTCAGATAAATAGTTCAAACTAGATAATCAACATGTTCATTTCAATTAAATTGTATGAAAGGCTATAGAAATACAATTTGTCCATCCATATTGGAAGTCAACACCCCACAACCGTTATGCTTGCCATGAGACTATCAGTCAAAACTCTCGATTTGAGACTGAGTGCCATAACAAAATTGTCAAGTTCACCAAAAAAAGCAAATTAATTCTCATACACCAAAGTGATATAATTTACCCTCCGCAAGAAATATCATGTGCATTTAACCACTTGCTCCGGTGATTACATTTGCCAATATAACATTCTGCTTGAGAGTTCAAATTTTCAGCAATTAAACCTCACGTGATTTTCCAGTGTACACAAGGACCTAACGAAATCTCTTGAGACCAACATCTCATGTAGACCACCATATTTTTCTTCATAACTCCTTTTTACATTTTATTTTATTTTCTTGTTCAACACCTTGCCTTCCATTAGTCTCTTCACTGAAAACATGTGCATTGACAGTCACAAATTGCTAAATATTAAAGTAGATTCCCCCATCAAACTTTCATTAGCCCAAATACCAATCATACCTTTGTGAGTGCTCTCTCAACCCCATAAAAGGGATAGCAATAGGATCTCCAAGGGAATCCTTAACCAATGAATTCACTCAGTTCTTAAGAGCAAATACAAATGCACAAATTATGACACAAGCCGCAAAAGACAACCTAAACTGACGAATAAAGTTGCAACTTCCCAATTGTAGATCCTATTGCATTAATTTCTATTCCTAAACGNAAGAGCAAATACAAATGCACAAATTATGACACAAGCCGCAAAAGACAACCTAAACTGAGGAATAAAGTTGCAACTTCCCAATTGTAGATCCTATTGCATTAATTTCTATTCCTAAATGACATCTAAGTGTTTCATGTAACATATAATTTTCTTATCAAATCCTAATTATTAGAAGCATCCAACCTAAAATCAACTGATAGTAGAAAAAGATGCCTTTCAACCATATAAACCAACTTAGGATGACCCTTAGGAAGCACGGATACTTATACGAGACATGGATAAGATATGACATGAACACTGTGACATTTTTTTCTCTNATTTTCTTATCAAATCCTAATTATTAGAAGCATCCAACCTAAAATCAACTGATAGTAGAAAAAGATGCCTTTCAACCATATAAACCAACTTAGGGTGACCCTTAGGAAGCACGGATACGTATACGAGACATGGATAAGATATGACATGAACACTGTGACATTTTTTTCTCTGCACATCCCCTAATATTAGACAACTCAACCAACACCCTATCCAACACTAGATAACTACACTACTCCACACCTACCTCTCTCTTTTCTCTCCCTTAACTCTCTCTTATTCTCTCCGTCCAATTTAATTTAAAATTATGGAATTAAGAAATGAAAAGGAAAAATACATTGCCATTCAAAATATAAATATTGCACGTTCAATGCTCGATTATTAGCATTGGAGAGTGTCTTCAACCATAGGATTATTGCTAGTATATCTATATAAGATATATTGTCTATCTTTATTATAAATTGACCATCTGACAACTATAACTTTTAGTAAATTCTTTAATAAAGATTAAAGATAAGAAATCTTTACTTTCAAAAGAAGCATAAATCATATGTTATACCTACAAAGCAAATGTAACTTATTAAAGGAACCAAAATCTACATTTAACTAGCTGAGTTTGAGGGTTCAAGAATTGGTACCTCCTTCTCTCAAACTACTTAGGTTGCTTAGAAATACTTTTTGTCAAGAGATAGGTTGTAGTTACCCCATNTAACTTATTAAAGGAACCAAAATCTACATTTAACTAGCTGAGTTTGAGGGTTCAAGCATTGGTACCTCCTTCTCTCAAACTACTTAGGTTGCTTAGAAATACTTTTTGTCAAGAGATAGGTTGTAGTTACCCCATTTTATATTCTTTTGACATGTGGCCATAGATAACACTTAATAAGTACCCACGTGTCTTCAAACCCATGTGTATCATTGCATGTGAAATCAAAAGAAATTCTTAAATCGTAAAGTTTTAAATCATACATATTGCTCTACGTAGGAACTTCAATGACCAAACCATATTCGTTTTGGATACTCATACCCGAGTTGTATCTTTAGTAGACAAATTATTAATAATTAGATATCTATGGAATGCATCTTATACATATNTTAAATCATACATATTGCTCTACGTAGGAACTTCAATGACCAAACCATATTCGTTTTGGATACTCATACCCGAGTTGTATCTTTAGTAGACACATTATTAATAATTAGATATCTATGGAATGCATCTTATACATATTTTCGAACATTTGAAGAATATCGCTCCTAATACAGATGATTCGACCTAAATGGAGTAATCGTTCTCAATAGGGTGACCCAAATCTTTCAATGGGAGATACAAGCTTTCTCCAAACTCTCCATTAAGTGTGACCAGGACTTGCACTTAAANTATGGAATGCATCTTATACATATTTTCGAACATTTGAAGAATATCGCTCCTAATACGGATGATTCGACCTAAATGGAGTAATCGTTCTCAATAGGGTGACCCAAATCTTTCAATGGGAGATACAAGCTTTCCCCATACTCTCCATTAAGTGTGACCAGGACTTGCACTTAGACTTACAAAACAGTAAGGAAATAGATAAACAAACAAATAGAGAAATCTGAATAGCTGAGAGACTTGACTCACTTCCAAGGCCTAGCTCTGATCATACATTAGAGGTATCCCACCCAAAACCAAATAGCAATGGATGGAGATCCATCAACCATGTAAAATAATCTTGATTGATCTTAATTTTTAGATGTGAAATACAAATTCTCTTAATATGAATCTAAGTACTGCCATATATTCACAAAAACATGTCATTAAACATCATATATTCCTTAAACTTATCATTATATGGTCAAAGTCTATAGGTTCGACACCCAGAAGGTTTTGATAGATGATATACTATGCTTTCAACTGTACAAAACAAAACCTCTCTTACCTACCTCGGAAAATATGCCTAAACTTCCATTCAACGTCATGGAGATCCCTTGCAATTAGTTCCTGGGCAGGTGGCGTCTGTGAGAAATCCTGAGAGGCCCAAGGTAACAATAGGGAACCATTATCAATCAGCACTTCAGTACTATCTGGGACTGACAAGCCACCATAATAGAAAGCGGGACAACAAAAACAGTATTACCAGTGGAGGGAAGACTTTCTCCGCAGCACGACGAGGAACAGAGAACCCTCCATGGGTACTAGTGTCACTTGCTGTCAATGTCTTACAGAAATAATTAGTTGGCTGCCTGTTAGGGGTCCCCAGCTCAACAGGAAGATATGTATCCTTTTGCTCTTGCTATGTACATTACATGAACCAATTTTACTACTCAATTCAGAACATATAACAAAATGTGTAAATATTTAGATAATTTATCCAGTATCTTAACGAGTACCGGTGTCAAGGGCTGCAATGTCATTTGAGCATAAACTTCATCTGTTTCAACATCTGCCTGAAATTCCACAAGAAAAACACAATTCTTTCCTATGGTCAGTATAACTTTCCCAACAAATATGTAAATTTGTAGAATTTTGGAGAAAAGGATGGCACATATAGAACCCACATGCATTGTAACATTGTGGAGTTGGCAGATCAACTGGGGCGGCAAGCTTGGATAATTGGGTATTTGCGCATCAATTTCTTTATTAGTCGTGGCAGCAACCTGGCATTCAATTCCAATCGGGGTCCTTTAAAACTGACTCTTTTGATTGATAAACTGCATATTGTGTGCATATTTCTTCATGATAATAAAAGAACAAAAAGAACAGAGGACTTCATAATAAAGACCTGCTCACTATGACCCTGAGGAAAGTAAACCACGCGACTCCCCAACGTTGGCAGTGACACCAGAGGACCAGCACACGCATGCCATAGTTCCGAATTCAAGCTTTTTTTCTTCCCTTTCATAGGCCATTGCCATCAAATTTCATCAGTCAGCTTCTTGTTAGTTGATGATTGTGTTATTGCCCACTTAATTATATTAAAAAAAAAAAAAGTGCTCAAGTCATGCAAAAGCATGAAATTCAACCAAGGACAATCAATGAAAAAGAAAAAATACATAACACATAATTCTAAGTGAAAAACAAAGGTGAGGGAGAAAGAGGAGATACCTTCATGAGCCAGCTGACCCAACCCTGATGTTGAATGCTTCATATTTTATCTGCCTTTTCTGCTATACATACAAACTATACACGTGTGATTAATTATACTAAACCCTCACTTCATAGCTATAGGCCGACTCATTTTTTCCAGCTCCAGCACGGCATATTGTTCCTGAACACGCTGTTAATCTACTAAATCAGCACTTCACTCTTCTTCATCTTCCACTTCTCCATTCAAAACTACAGAAATTTCACACCGTACTAAAAATTTTCACATGAATTTGAGCACACTAATCACAAGAAATCAATCGCAAACTCAATCGAGCTTCCCAATTTCCGTACCGAAAAAACAAGCTAATCAAGCCCTAGAAAGAAGAAAGATTAACATTTGAACCGAGCTCAGAACAGCGCTCGTATTTCGAGAACTCCGCGAACGAGCTTTACTTCAGTTCAGTCACTAACAGTGAAGCTTTTCGTGGCCAATCACTGTCTGAAGAGATAGAGATAGCTTTTGGAGATATTATATATTTTCCACTTTTTTAGCCCACCAGACCAGACCTGATACCAGTAGAGAGAGAGAGATGTGCGTGCGTGGATATATGTGATAGATATGTGTATACATGTATATCTTATATCTCCCTTTCTTGGGGAAATCGAATCGTGGCCGTCGGAAGATCCGTAATTGACGATCTTGGGCGTCCATTTGGACCGATATGACAGGAGGCATGTGAGACCATTCTTCAGTGGTCGTTCTCAGAGTACGGACCACAAATTTAAAGAATAAAATTCACAGGAAAGACTACGATTCGCCTGTGAATNATTCTTCAGTGGTCGTTCTCAGAGTACGGACCACAAATTTAAAGAATAAAATTCAAAGGAAAGACTACGATTCGCCTGTGAATCATATCAGATTCGTGCGGAAGTTTAATGGTTTGTATTAAAAAGTATCTATATAATAAAACTGTGTCTGTGTCCGAATTTTATCCGGTTTTATTTTTTCCTTTAAAATCATCGTCAATCATTTATTTCACTCATCATCCTTTTAAAATTAATTTTATATATATATTAATTTATGTCTAATAAATTATATCATTTTAAATTTATATTATGTATAAATACTCGTATCTGAAGGCACAAATTAATAAAAAATAATAAATAATAAATATATTTGTATTCATATTCAAAATCAAATCACAAACATAAAAAAAATATAAAAAAATTTAAGCATCAATTTGTAATACATGTGAGAGGTAGTGGACGACAGTGGTGATAATAGGAGACGATGATGATTATGGTGGGTGGCAAAGACCATAATGGCGACAATGGTGGTGGTGGTGGTGATGGTGATGGTGATGGTGATGGCGACGACGATAACGACGACAATGAAATCTAATCTCTCTTTCCTTTCTTTTCCTTGCAAATTATTTATTCTTGTCCTTGAGGAATTGGTTAAAGAGCTTTGACAGGTGGTAGTGGTGGAGGTAGGGACAGTGGCAATGTTGGTGGTGGGGGCGACGATGGCAGTGACGATGGCAGTGGCGATAGCAATGGTGGCGATGGCGTGGTGGTGGTAGTGGTGATGGGGGCGACGATAGTGGTGGTGGTGGTAGGGGTGGCGGTGAGGATGGCGATGGTAGTGATAGTGATAGTGGTGGCGATGAAGGTGATAATGGCAGTGGTAGCAGTGGTAACGGTGGCAATGGCAGTGGTAGTGGTAGTGGTAGCGATGGTGGTGGTGACGACGATGATGGCGGTGGTGATAGTGGTGGNGTAGCGATGTTGGTGGTGACGACGGTGATGGCGGTGGTGATAGTGGTGATGACAACGATGGTAGTGATGATAGTGGTGGCAACGGCGATGGCAGAGGCAGTGGTGATGGTCGTCGTGGCAGTGGCTATGGTGGTGAGGTGGTTTCAAACATTATTTTTTTAAAAAGTTACTCTAAACACATCCTTAAGGCTAATTTTTTCTATTAAATTTAGAATATTAATATTAGCCGTTAGATTAACTTTAAAGTAATATTTAAAGTGATCTCAACAGTAAATAGCAAAAGTCATTTTGTTTATATTTTAAAATTTGAATTGTAAGCTATTTATTATATAAATGTATAATTTTTATATAAATAAATTATATCATATATTTTTTTTATAATTTTTTTAGTTATAAGTTGTAATTCTAAAAAATATGAAAACATGAAAGTTGCNTTTTTTTATAATTTTTTTAGTTATAAGTTGTAATTCTAAAAAATATGAAAACATGAAAGTTGCATTAACTTGTAAAGGTCAAATTATATTTTTTAAAAGTAAAATTACAACTTATTATAAGTATTTTATAATTAATTATGAATTACCTCAAGTAATTACAACTTCACCCTTAAAAAATTGACTTTAAAAAATAATAACTTTTGGTAACAGTAGAATTACAAAAAATTCAAGAGAGAGAAAGAGATTAGTGCGATTTTTTTAGGATTTTTAGCCATACTGGGGGAATGTACCTTGTTACCAGGAATTATTTATTCCCAGCCTTCAAGGTAAAGAGTAAATTAATTGACCAAAATTTANATTCTTCAGTGGTCGTTCTCAGAGTACGGACCACAAATTTAAAGAATAAAATTCACAGGAAAGACTACGATTCGCCTGTGAATCATATCAGATTCGTGCGGAAGTTTAATGGTTTGTATTAAAACGTATCTATATAATAAAACTGTGTCTGTGTCTGAATTTTATCCGGTTATATTTTTTTCTTTAAAATTATCGATAATTATTTATCTCACTCGTCATCTTTTTAAAACTAATTTTATATATATATTAATTTATGTCTAATAAATTATATTATTTTAGATTTATATTATGTATAAATACTTGTATCTAAAGGCAAAAATTAATAAAAAAATAATAAATAGTAAATATATTTGTATTCATATCCAAAATCAAATCACAAACATAAAAAAAATGTAAAGAAATTTAAGCATCAGTTTGTAATACATGTGAGAGATAGTGAGCGACAGTAGTGATAATAGGAGACGATGATAGTTATGGTGGGTGGCAAAGACCATAACGGCGACGGTGGTGGTGGTGACGACGACGACAACGACGACAATGAAATCTAATCTGTCTTTCCTTTCTTTTCCTTGCAAATTATTTATTCCTGTCCTTGAGGAACCGGTTAAAGAGCTTTGACAGGTGGTAGTGGTGGAGGTAGGGACAATGGCAATGTTGGTGGTGGGGGGCGACGATGGCAGTGGCGATAGCGGTNGGTGGTAGTGGTGGAGGTAGGGACAGTGGCAATGTTGGTGGTGGGGGCGACGATGGCAGTGACGATGGCAGTGGCGATAGCGGTGGTGGCGATGGCGTGGTGGTGGTAGTGGTGATGGGGGCGACGATAGTGGTGGTGGTGGTAGGGGTGGCGGTGAGGATGGCGATGGTAGTGATAGTGATAGTGGTGGCGGTGAAGGTGATAATGGCAGTGGTAGCAGTGGTAACGGTGGCAATGGCAGTGGTAGTGGTAGTGGTAGCGATGGTGGTGGTGACGACGATGATGGCGGTGGTGATAGTGGTGGTGACGACGGTGGTGGTGATGATAGTGGTGGCAACGATGATGGTGGTGGCGATGGCAGAGGCTGTGGTGGTGGCCGTCGTGGCAGTGGCTATGGTGGTGAGGTGGTTTCAAACATTATTTTTTTAAAAAGTCACTCCAAACACATCGTTAAAGGCCAATTTTTTCTATTAAATTTAGAATATTAATATTAGTCGTTAGATTAACTTTAAAGTAATATTTAAAGTGACTCAACCGTAAATAGCAAAATTCATTTTGTTTATATTTTAAAATTTGAATTGTAAGCTATTTATTATATAAATGTATAATTTTTATATAAATAAATTATATCATATATATTTTTTTATAATTTTTTTAGTTATAAGTTACAATTCTAAAAAATATGAGAACATGAAAGTTGCATAACTTGTAAAGGTCAAATTATATTTTTTAAAAGTAAAATTACAACTTATTATAAGTATTTTATAATTATTTATGAATTACCTCAAGTAATTACAACTTCACCCTTAAAAAATTGACTTTAAAAAATAATAACTTTTGGTAACAGTACAATTACAAGAAATTCACGAGAGAGAGAGAGATTAGTGCCATTTTTTTAGGATTTTTAGCCATACTGGGGGAATGTACCTTGTTACCGGGAATTATTTATTCCCAGCCTTCAAGGTAAAGAGTAAATTAATTGACCAAAATTTGGAATTATTTATTCCCAGCCTTCAAGGTAAAGAGTAAATTAATTGACCAAAATTTAAAAAGGAAAATGTGGACCTTATGGTATGGTATGGTCCATACTCCATGCCCCAATTGGGGGACCAATGTGTCAAACTTGGTGTTTTTGCTGAATTTTATGAAAGATACTACTTTGATATGAATGTTCTCTTTTGAGGAAACTAGATCAACATCTCATATCCTTTTTAATAAGCNCTGAATTTTATGAAAGATACTACTTTGATATGAATGTTCTCTTTTGAGGAAACTAGATCAACATCTCATATCCTTTTTAATAAGCGAAAATTATATTTAGATTCCCGAAATTTATCACTTAATCAGATAGACCACTCAAATATGAGAAATTACAAACAGATAGAACCCTTGTCAATGACGTTTTGCTAACAGAACTAACTGAAAATGACAAAAAGATNATCTCATATCCTTTTTAATAAGCGAAAATTATATTTAGATTCCCGAAATTTATCACTTAATCAGATAGACCACTCAAGTATGAGAAATTACAAACAGATAGAACCCTTGTCAATGACGTTTTGCTAACAGAACTAACTGAAAATGACAAAAAGATGAAATTGCCCTNGATAGAACCCTTGTCAATGACGTTTTGCTAACAGAACTAACTGAAAATGACAAAAAGATGAGATACTATTAGATTTATGCTCATTTACTAAAATGCCCCTTTCACTCTTTGACCACTTCCCCCCTAGATATCATTAGTGTCCCTCCTTGTTGTCTCCTCTTAGACACCCTCTTTTTCTCTTTTTCTCATCTATTGCTCATCTTAGGAAACACTCGTCTCCCTCTCACCCTACCTTGTGTTTCCCGCCTTTGGTCTCCTCATACAGGAAAATGATTCATCTTGAAAGATTGAATAACTGAATCTACTGANCGTCTCCCTCTCACCCTACCTTGTGTTTCCCGCCTTTGGTCTCCTCATACAGGAAATGATTCATTTTGAAAGATTGAATAACTGAATCTACTGAAGATTTTCAATTGTGGTGAACGATCATATTCAGTTTTAGAGTTTTGATTTTGGGTTTGGTTAAAGCTAGGTTTGCCTACCATGATTGAGGCTAGAATCACATATTTGAGCGTTTAGTGAATGGATTGAAGGTCCAAATCAGTTAGGGTTTTTGTGAAAAAGGTTTGGGGGTCTTCGTTTTTGTTTATTTTGATTGAACATTCGTTTGAATAG